ATACTAAGCATCAGTAGAAGGGGAAGGGGCACTTCAGGCAGTTGCATTATGATTCGGTTATTAGTGACTTGAATAATATGCTAGCTGGGTAGCTAGAGGAAAAGCTCTCTATATATAGCAGATTAGAGAGAGGAAGGGCATGTTGATATTGATGAAGTTAGCTTTTAGATTGTTAATTGGGAATTTGTGAGAGAATCAAGCATCTTAAATGCTTGAACATCCTTTAATATTGTTGTTTTCCAGATTTTATCAATCAAACTTCATCTTCTTTCTTATTCTCACATTTAGTCTCTAAATAAATACCCAGGTTTTATCCTTTGTTCTGGGAAAAAATAAAAAAATCATGCCCCAGTTAGCCCTTCGCCGTAGGGAAGGCAACTCCTATATTTAGTTGCCTATTTCTATTGTTGAAAATCACCACCCTTCATTTTGACGTTTTGTTGTTCCCTGGTGCCTGGTCACACCCAAACTCTTTTGAGTCCTTCATCTCAATCTAGCATGTTTTTTTTTTTTTTTTTTTTTTTTTTTTCATGCCGTTCCTTTAGCCTTGTCCTCTTTGGTTTGAGATTTGAGAATGCTTATCCATTAGGCCTGCCTTCATGTTCCATTTTTTAAGTTTATCAAAAGCCTTTACCAATACTCATACCCAAGCCTAACAATGGTTATAAAATGAAAGTAGGACTATAAAAGTCTTGGGAGGCACAAATGCTTTCTCAAGTCAATGGGAAAAAAAATTTATTCACTTGACTGTAATAATACAAAAAAACTGAAGTGGCTTTTGCAATACCAGTGTGAAAAGTTCCCAAATTTTTTATTCCAATTCAGTGATTTGCTCAGGAATTATTTTTTTCTTAGATAGATGTTTCAGCTTTAGATTTCCTATGCTTAATTTGTTGGTGACGGTTGTGCTTTGCTTACAAGTATTCTAAATTTCAGGTGTATCATGTTGATGCATTCTATTTTGTGTACTTCTGGCTAGTTATCTGTGTTCTCTTGTATGTTGTGATGTTCTATTCACAATTGATTTTAAACTGAAGCTATAGATAGATACGATAATCATTTTGCTGCTTTGTGGACTTGAGATCCCATTTGTATGTCTTCTTTGATTCTTTCACTTTTCCTTATAATTATGTTTTACTCATTTATTGGAGCGCTAAGCCGCAGAGCATTAATAAGATTTCAGTGTGTATACTGATATGAAACTTGATGCTCCTTGGATAATTTTCAGGATAATAATATTTTAACCCCTCTGAATCTCTTGTGAGACAGCATTTAACTCTGAATTTACTTCTGAGTTCAATTCTCAATATTATAGCAAAAAGCTATGCACCCAAACTCAATTCTTATTGTCCATCTTCTAATTAGTGTTGTTATCTTTACTAACAAGTTATAACCGAATAATATATCCTCCTTACCCCAACTAGGAATAGGAAACAACGAAGTTTTGGAGCCTAACTAAACTTAGAGCCCAAGCTAAGCTGCCTAATTAGCTTAGTTAATGAACCCGATCAGCCCAAATAACTAGCTAACACAAACCAGAACCATTAGGCCAAGCAAAGTATTAAAGGATAAACACAAGTAACAAGTCTTTCCATTCCCTTCTACAAGGCACTTTGAAAGTGTGGAAACAAGATGAGACTTCCCGTTATGATCCAAACCAAAACCCATAGTATCTATCATGATAAACACATGCTTGTAGGATATTGCAACATCAACCACCGTACTAACATATATGCTCTCGGACTTTGTAGTCTTTTTTAGTGATATATCATATTATTTGAGATTTCTATGAAGTTTTATTCTTTGCTGTACTTTCATATTTCTCAGGATTACTATTTTGTATATATATTGACGGATACACCTGGAAGCACTATGGTTTTCACTCGTACATGTGATGCAACTAATCTGCTAGCACTCATGCTTCGTAACCTTGGTTTTAGGGCTGTTCCCATCAATGGGCACATGTCTCAGGTTTGCTTTCATATATCACCATACATTTTTTCTGACATTTTTTTTACACATTTTATATATGAAGCCTAATATGTAGATTGTTGACCTTCTAGTTGAATCTTATTGTGTATGTGCTTGATTCTGAAATAACCTTGCCTTGTTTGGTAGGCAAAACGACTCGGGGCGCTGAACAAGTTCAAATCTGGCGATTGCAATATCCTCATTTGCACTGATGTAGCTAGTAGAGGGCTCGATATTCCTTCGGTGGATATGGTGATAAATTATGAAATTCCCAGTAACTCTAAGGTCAGTTTTTGCTTCTCCTGCAGATTAGCTAGTCATCTGAGAACTTGGTTTGCTTAATGCTTCTAATGTATACTGGATGAAAACATTTCATTTGTTCCATAAATGAAACTGTGAAAGTGCTTACTGACAGTGAGCAAAGTTCAATTTGAAGTAATACAGAGAGGACAAGTTGTTCTTGTGCTCAAGGCATGGGTTGTGAGTCTTGTGACCGTGGTTTAGTTAGTATGCTTCCATTGTATTCATTTGACAATGTTATTATGGTTTCAGGATTACATACATCGGGTAGGGAGAACAGCTCGTGCTGGAAGGTCAGGGGTAGCCATCTCATTAGTAAATCAGTATGAGGTTGAGTATTATATCCAGATAGAGAAGTTGATAGGTGAGCAGCATTTCGTGTTCATGATAGCATTAATTTGTTTTCTTTGAGCCCTTCATTTATTATCTGAGATGCAGGCAAAAAGTTACCAAAGCATCCTGCTGAGGAAGCCGAAGCACTGCTCCTGTCTGAACGTGTTAATGAGGCAAAAAGGATATCATATATGGTATATTAGCTTAAAATCTATTGTGTTCTTATGAGTTAGGTTTACAGTTTCCTTTGTGATTTAGATTATTCTCTGTTTGCCTTCTTGTATGTGTCAAGCTAGAATAAATCTAACATAATACATTTTTGATCTTCTGATTACATTGAACTTTAACGAGTTTGTGACTAGGTTGAATTTACATTCATGGTCCCTGTACATTGCCTGCTGCCCTGTATACTCGTTGAGATCATAAATAAGTGTAATGCTAAATTCAAGACCCAATTGGACATTGTTAGATGTGGTGTTTGACCTTCTGTGAACCTTGCTATTGGCATAAGCAAAAGATCCTTCTGTAGCATTGCTATGCTCCATCTTGATGCTTAAATTGGTTTTATGCTCTGAATGGATCTTTAATACGTACTACATATCTTGTGGCTTCTTGTTTAGCGTGGTCTCTACTCTCTAGTCTACATTAAATCCAGGTTTTTTAAAATTACTTTTAACAAGTCTACATTAAGTTCAGGTTGGTGTTTTTAATATTGTGCTTTTGCATCCACAGAAAATAAAGGAATCTGGCGGGAAGAATAAAAGAAAAGGCAGGGGAGATGATGATGGAGAGGAATTTGAAAAATACACGAGCAAAGGCAACAAAGGCGGTGGTAAAACATTCAAGAAGTCGAGGAGATGATGCTTTTTACTTGCATAGACAAACATGAAGTATTAAAGTAGGGTTTACAATGATTTTGTTAGATACACTCTTCCAGGATAATATTTTTTTTTTTTTTTTATTTTTTTTTTTTGCCTATTTATTGAACACTATTGCTGAGATATACGACTAATACAAGCCATCTATAAGAAAAGTCTATCTGCATTTTGTTGTCCATGGAGTTGCGTTCTCTTGTTTTTATTTGTCTAACTCTCTAAAATTTCTCAGTTATTGGAGGCTAGTTAGCTCTACTTCAAGCTTGCTAACTCAACTCCCATCAGTCTAATCAGGTTCTTACCGAGTCGTCTCAATGGACAAGTTTAGTTAAACTCATTTGACTTTGTTTTTGTAGATAAAATGAACTTTAGGCAAAACCCGAAAAAATAAGTTTTCAAAGACTAAGTAACACCACTTCTATTAAAGAAATACATTTAATAAAAATGTATTCCTTTAATGAAAGTGGTGTTACTTATGTTTGTTGGGAGATGTAGCAAAATTTTAATTTTAGATTTATATAAACCCGTAGTAGGTGTTGTTAAACCCATTTGTATGTGATATCGGTAAAAGTCATTATAATATCAGGATATTGTATGAGAATATATACTCCCTCCGTCCTACAAAATAATTTTTGTTTTCTTATTTTAGAGACCCAAAATGTTGTTCCTATTTCTATTTTTGAATAGTATGTAAAGATCATTATATTCTTATTTTTACTTTATCGTTGAACTTCCTAATTTACCCTTAACTTATCCACTTACGTTGTATTTTTTTCACTTTCTCTCTCTAACTTTTGTCTATAAATATACTTTTCACTTTTTTTCCCTTAAATTATCCACTTACTTTGTACTTTTGTTAGTTTTTTTTATCACTTCTCCTCCCATTTTTTAAATATTGTGAAAAAAACACAATAGGAATTATGTTATGGGACGGAGGGAGTATAAGATATGGTTTTGTCAGATCACAATGAAATGTGATTGACATGTATGAAACATAGATCTCAAGAGGATTTTATATATTTGAATTATTGTGGTCCTTTAGGGTAAGACAAACTGATTTTGGGTTGTCTTCGTCATCACACATTCATAAACTTTTAATTGTATGTTAGAAAATATCTTGCATAACACAAAACATCATCACCAACTTCACTCGTTCTATCAATAGTCTCATCGCATGTTTAAATATATGTTGGTAAGCCTTATATGCGTTATCCTCATTCGTTGTAATACCTAAAAGGTAAATATTGTTAATGACCTTAATTGATATTGTGTAAGGGCTTCTTATGCCAATAGTAACTTATGTTACTTACTGTCCTTTTGTTTGTTGTAAACTCAGTTTAATTAATATAATTTCAGCTGTTGTTTTAAAAAATTACAAAGAATCGATACAAGCTTTGGTATATGAAAATATTAAAAATATTTAAAACATGTTTACATAAAATATTTATAAAGCCCACCTATCACATAATTAGACAAATAAAGACCCGTCCTATTTATTTATCATACGGATCTAACCAATTTATAACTACGCCGGGTCATGGCTTTTAAAGGCCTCCATCCTATTTCCTACCTCTCTGAGTTATTTCATTGAAGTGCACTCAGCGTTCTCCATTGAAACGTTCTCCGTTGAATCTATTTCTTCTAAGGTAAGTTGTTTGTTGTTGTTATCATCATATCAATTTCACAATCTAGGGTTAATATTTGATCTAACCTAATTTAATTATCAGTGGTTTATGTTTAGGGTTCGTAAATTCTTAGATTATGAAACATCATATCCAAAAGAAAAGATTTGATTATTGAATCAAGTACCCCCAAAATTATGTATTTTTCGAAAAGTAATGAGTGCATAACAGAGATTAAAACTGAAGTTGCCCGTCTTTCAGCTTTAACAGAAAGGTTAGTCCAAGAAGCTGGTGCTGTCTGTGCTGCGACCTAATTACAGCATTGATTATTTGATTTTGGTTTTATGGTTGCTGTTTGTTTGTAAATATGCATATTTACTATAAATATCAGATTGATTAGTGGCTAGAAGTTTGTGGTATGGCAGTGTTGGGTTTTTTCTTGTTCATGTACTATAAACACTCAATACCTATGCCAGTTTTAGCTACCTGGTTCTGTTGTAAGTCTGAAATTGATGAGATTAGGCAATACATAATCTGATAGGAGTTTCAAGATTTCAGTTTACTGGGGTTTGATGTAAGAACTCTGACATACTATTGTCTCTGATCTCTGAGCCATGAAAGAATAGTTTGTCATAAAAGCAGTATATTGTTTCATGTGGCTTCTGGAATCTGCTTTGCACCGCGAGGATCTTTTGTAGCCAACTTCAGTTTTAATCTCTGTTATGCACTCATTAATCTCTGTTGAGTATTTGATCCAACACAAGTGTGGGCATTCATATGTCCTTCCTTTTCCTTGTTATGTGCTTGTCTGATTTAATATCGACTACTGGTCTACTTTTCTGTTTACTTATCTGTTATATATCTGCTGATTAATTTCAAGCATAAATTTGATGCTGAAAAAAAATAAAAAAAAGCAACTTAGGTACTACTACTCATTTCTGATGTAGGTCCAAGAGTTATTATTATATTGGGGGTTGAACAAAGAGGGAACTGTAAACATCCTTGGAAGAACAGCTGATTTCGCTTTCAATAGGGAAGGCCAGTGACCCTTACAATGATCACAGTGTAGCCTCTTTGCCAGATTGCTCAAGGCTGGTTTGGAGGTACCATGAAGGGTGAAGTTTGCGTGTTTAGAATTCTGTTCACTGTTCAGAGTATTAAAGTTGATTTGCGTAATTATTATTGTCATACAAGTCCTTGTGCAAAAGCTGGTTTTTTCTCGACTACTACTAAAAGTTCTAGCAGATCATCTCCACTTGTAGATGAAGGGGTGCAGGAAGTAAGAAAGTTAGTACAGTTCCCAAAATGTGCTGCTGAAGTTTTGAGCAACTATGGTTGTAGTGAAAGCCAGATAAGTACTATTTTCTCCCGGGTGCCACCATTACGCAATGCTATTCCCTCTTTACTCGATTCTAAGCTTTACTTGCTTCGTAAATTGGGTGTCTCATCCTCTGAGCTGGTCTCTATGATCCACTGTCGTCCACGCCTTCTGAGGTGCCAAATTAACCGACACTTTGATGAACGTCTAAATCATCTACTATCTCTATTTGAGTCAAGGGATCTTTGTGTTAGAGCTATCATTAGGAATCCCTCGCTTCTGATCTACGACTTTCATAAGACACTCATACCTACGTTCTCAATGTATGAGAAAATGGGTCTCAGTAAAAGCGAAGTGATTTCCATGCTCTTGCTTAGACCTACGTTGATTCAGAGAACCAATATGAGCTCAGAGAAACTAGATTACATACGTAGGACTGGAATCTGCAGTGATTCAAAAATGTACAAGTATGTGGTCACAATAATTGGTGTATCGCGCTTTGAGACTATCCGTGAAAAGGTTGCAAATCTTGAGAAGTATGGTTTCTCAGAGGATGAGGTATTGGCATTCATTGGTCGAAATCCATTATTGATGACTCTTTCAGTGGAAAAAGTTCGACGACATTTGACCTTTATAATGGGTACTATGAAGTTGCCACAGAGCATTATATGTCGTTATCCATTTCTGCTGTTCTGTAGTTTGGAAACTTTACTAAGGCCCCGGGTGCTCTTGTTTAGTAAAATGCGAGAAATGGGTCTCGGTCCTGAAGTAAATCAAGCTATAATAATAACGGCATTGAGGATGTCTGAAAAGAAGTTCTTGAAGAAGTTTGTTGGATGCCAAGAGGAGGAAGTCAGAAAAGAGTTATTGTTGTATTATGGAGCTTCAAAAGGCATAAAGCGGTTGGCAGAATCATCGAAGAAGACTTCTTATACCTCTGGGTTTCCCTTCTGAGATCTTTTTTGGATACACCAAATTACAGTTTTGGAAGGTTAAATGTAATATTGTATTGTAAGTTTTGTAACAATTTCGTTTATCTAATTTCATAACAAAAGAAACTATTTGGTGCATAGTCCTTCATTGCTTCTTGTTTTCATCAAGAATTTTTTAATCTTCATCAATACATGCTAAGCTGCTACCTCCTAACCATGGAGGTGCTGGTACTGTGGCTGTTGATTGAAAACAAACCAAACATTCTGAATAACTGTTGTGTATCTTTCTCTTTTCATCCCTGTTATCGATTGAGCGAGAATAGTGAGAAACAACTTTTTTTTTATTTATAAAATTGACAGGAAGAGGGGAGTATTATTAATTGGGACTCATAATGTCACTATTTACAATCGTTTGAGCTTAATGCCTTCATAAGGGAACTTCCTCAATCCACACTCTTAGCTAATCGTAATTTCTACTCACTTGTGCAAGCTTATGAGCAAAACAGTTAAAACCAATGTAATGCATGCCAAATGATACAATTTGGAAATTAAATTATACTGTAGTATAATGACTACCCAACAAAAAATTTCGTAAGAACCTTAATTTTTTTAGAATATTTCATGTGCTAATTGTCATACCTCACACATTTAGAGAAATAAAAACAAGCTTACTATGCTTGTGGCATATTGTATACTTTAGTTTTCTACAACAGGAAAATTTGACAGATTTTTTGACACACAAGGATTGAAGTCCCAATACTATATGACTTGTATACTAAAGTTGAGTCCACTGATTCAGATTGTTTTTCATATTTTTCCCTCTAAAATAATTACTCTGTAATGAAGTTAGAGTACATAGATAATTACACTGGAATTTCAAAGCATATATTATTAGATCGCAAGGTTTTAATTATAAATAGTTAAAGAGTATATGAAAACCCTTGACCCAAGTAGGAACAAGGCCTTTGATCAGGACAATGGGATTGAAGTTGCATGGAATAAAATTGATTTGTCAGAAGATATCCTCAAATCAGAGAAACAGCTCCAAAGATTGTACGCCGAAGCCAATCTTTTGAAGTCTTTGAAGCATGAAAACGTAATTACATGTTATCATTCGTGGATTGATGACAGGAACAAGTCCATCAACTTGATCACATTGCTCTTCATCTCTGGGGATATAAGAAAGTACAGGAAGAAACATAAGAGTCTTGGCATCGATACTAATTGGAAGGCGATCAAGAACTGGCGAGACAGATCCTTAAACGGTCAGAGTCATAACCCACCAACTATTCACAGGGATCTCAAGTGTGAGAATATTTTTGTTAATGGTTATTCAGGCAAGGTTAAAATTGGTGATCTTGGACTTGCAACTGTTCTGGAACATGGTACTGCTTTGAGTGTTACTGGAACCCCGGAATTTATGGCACCCGAGTCTTACTTGTGATAATCAACTAGTGGATGTATATTCTTTTGGGAAGTGCATGCTACAGATGATTACTTGTGATAAGCCTTACAGTGAATGCAGTAACGCGACCCAGGTTTACAAGAAGGTTAGCTCAGGAATAAAGGCTGCTGCTCTCAGCAAAGTGACTGATCCTCTGGTGAGGAACTTCATTGACAAGTGTCTGGCTTCAGTATCAGAGAGACTGTCTACAATAGAGCTCTTGAAGGATCCGTTCCTTGCATCCATGTCAGACTATTTGTGCACACCCAGATGCAGTCCCTCTCTGTGTGCTCGGGCAGTTCTCTTCTTACAATTATTGCTCATATTGAAGTTTTTCAGAAGGTTATAAAAAGCGACAAGAATTCCTTGTCTGATCAAGAAAAACATGATTTTCAAACCCAACAATTACTTGATTTTGAGATTGTGAATTAGAGTATGGTGATTTAAACAGAAGAGATCAGATAGCAGTGTATGTCATGATCAAACAAGTTTGGTTAGCATATCTTTGGTAACAAAGGGTAACCTAAACCAATAACAGAAGCGAAAGCAAGGTGAAAATTTTGACAAGATTAGAGGCAATGGGAGCTGCAGTAAAGAGGTCTGCAAGCCCACGTTCTAATTTTCTGTTGAAGCTATTTGTACATTGTTGGAACAAGTTCTAGCTTCCATTTAAACCTCCAGTGTCAATATACAATACAGTTTCATGCTGTGAATATACAAAAGATAAAGAAACCTAACATCAACAATATTAAGATCATGGTGTCAATATATCTAAAGATACTAAGGATACATTCCGGGTCTTATAATGTCGTTTGCAACCATATATGATAATTATATGTTAACATAAATGCCAGTGTTGGGCTTGAGGTATCGACTTCAGTTGTAAACGGGTAAATTGATAGTTTTAAGCCAAAGTGGATGGTTCCACCCCTCTAAATGGACTCCCAGAGTGTATTGGGGTCTATGGGAAGCGTCTTGGCAATTTTTTTTCCACGTCAAAAAAAGTTCATAATTGTCCAAAATTAAAGGCTATTCACGTTTTTGGAACAATTTTAGAGGTTTCGGGACCCGGTGTAAAAAAATATTGAGATGCTAGGGGATGCATCCAGGGTCGTATAATGTCGTTGGAACAATATATATATATATATGATCATTATATGTTGTCATAATTGTCCCAATTGGCCATGAATTAATGAAATCAACGTAAGTCGTAAACGAGTATATTGACGGTTTAAAGACAAATTAGATGGTCTTTCCCACACAAATGGACTCCTAGAGTGTATTAGGGTGTATGGGAAGTGTCTCAACAATATCTTTTCCAGGTTTAGAAAAGTCCATAATTATGCAAAACTAAAGGCTATAATTCACGCTTTTTGAACAATTTCAGAGGTTTTAGGACCCGGTGTCGAAAAATCTTGAGATAATAGAGGATGCATCCCGGGGTCATATAATGTCTTTTGAAACCATATATGATCATTATATGTTGTCATAAATATCGGTTTTGGCCTTGAATTGATGAAATCGGCGTAAATTGTCAATAGATAAATTGATAGTTTAAAGACAAATTATATGGTTTCACACACACAAATGGACTCTCGGTGTGTATTGGGGTCTATGGGAAGCGTCTTTGCAATTTTTTTCCAGATCCAAAAAAGTCCATAATTGTCCAAAATTGAAGGCTATCATTCACTCTTTTGGAGCAATTTCAGAGGTTTCGGGACCCGGTGTCGAAAAATCTTGAGATAATAGGGGATGCATCCCGGGGTCATATAATATTGTTTGGAACTATATATGATCATTATATGTTGTCGTAAATGTCCGTGTTGGCCTTGAATTGATTAAATCGGTGTAATTTGTAAACGAATATATTGACGGTTTAAAGACAAACTGGATGGTCTTTCCCACACAAATAGACTCCCAGGGTGTATTCGGGTTAATAGGAAGCATCTCGACAACTTTTTTTTCCAAGTCAAAAAAAGTCCATAATTGTCCAAAATTAAAGACTATAATTCACGTTTTTGGAACAATTTTGGAGGTTTCGGGACCCGGTGTAGAAAAATCGTAAGATAGTAAGGGATGCATCCAAGGGTCACATAATGTTATTTGGAATCATATATAATCATTATATGTTGTCATAAATATCAATGTTGGCCTTGAATTAATGAGATCGGAGTAAGTTGTTAATGGGTATATTGACATATTAAAGACAAATTGGAAAGTTTCACCCACACAAATGGACTCTCGGGGGTGTCTAGGGTCTATAGGATGCATCTCTGCATTTTTTTTCCAGGTCCAAAAACAAGTCCTAAATTGTCCAAACTGAAGGCTATAATTCACACTTTTAGAGCAATTTCGGAGATTTCGGGACACAGAGTTAAAAAATCTCAAGATATTAAGAGTTCCATCTTGGGATCACATAATGTCGTTTGGAACCATATATGATCATTATATGTTGTCATAAATGTCCGAGTTTGCCATGAATTAATAAAATTAGTGAAAGTTATAGATGGGTATATTGACGGTTTACAGACAAGTTCGAGGGTCTTTCCCACACAAATGGACTCCCAGAGTGTATTGGGATCTTTGGGAAGCATATCGGCAATTTTTTTTTCCAGGTCCAAAAAAGTCCATAATTTTCCAAAATTAAAGGCTATATTTCATGTTTCGGAACAATTTTAGAGGTTTCGGGACCAGGTGTAGAAAAATCGTAAGATACTAGGGGATGCATACCGGGGTCATATAATGTCATTTGGAATCATGTATGAGCATTATAAGTTGTCATAAACGTTCGTGATGGCCTTGAATTAATGAAATCGGTGTATGTTGTTAATGGGTATATTGACGGTTTAAAGACAATTGGAAAGTTTCAGTCACACAATTAGACTCCCAAGGGTGTATTGGGGTGTATGGGATGCATCTCGGTAATTCTTTTCAAGGTTCAAAAACAAGTCTAAAATTTTTCAAACTAAAGGCTATAGTTCACGCTTTTGGAGCAATTTCAGGGGTTTCGAAAGCCAGTGTCGAAAATTCTTGAGATACTAAGGGATGCATTCTGGGGTCATATAATGCCGTTTGGAACCATATATGATCAATATATGTTGTCATAAATGTCCGTGTTGGCATGAATTAATAAAATCGATGTAAGTTGTGAACGGGTATATTGACAGTTTAAAGACAAGTTAGAGGGTATTTCCCAGACAAATGGACATCAGAGTGTATTGGGATCTATGGGAAGCGTCTCGGCAATTTTTTTTCCATGTCCAAAAAGGTCCATAATTTTCCAAAACTGAAGGCTATAATTCACGTTTTCGAAACAATTTTAGTGGTTTTGGGACCAGGTGGAGAAAAATCGTAAGATACTAGGGCATAAATCCGTAGTCATATAATGTCTTTGGAATCATATATGAGAATTATATGTTGTCATAAATGTTCCGTTGGTTTTGAATTAATGAAATCGGTGTAAGATGTTAATGGCTATATTGACGGTTTAAAGACATATCGGATGGTTCCACCTTCACAAATGGACTCCCGGAGGTGTATTGGGGTCTATGGGATGCGTCACGGCAATTTTTTTCCAGGACCAAAAACAAGTTCAAAATTGTCCAAACCGAAGGCTATAATTCACGCTTTTGGAGCAATTTCAGAGGTTTCAAGAGCCAGTGTCGAAAAATTTCAAGGTACTAAGGGATGCATCCCAGGGTCATATATTGTCGTTTGGAACCATATATGATCGTTATCAAAAATGTCTGAGTTTGCCATGAATTAATAAAATCGGTGTAAGTTATAAACGGGTATATTGACAGTTTAAAGACAAGTTCAAGGGTCTTTCCCACACTAAAGGACTCCCAGAGTGTATTGGGGTCTATGGTAATCATCTTGGCATTTTTTTTCCCAGGTCTTAAAAATTCCATAATTGTCCAAAATTGAAGGCTATAATTCACGTGTTCGGAACAATTTTGGGGTCATATAATGTCATTTGAAATCATATATGAAAGTTATATGTTGTCATAAATGTTCGTGGTGGCCTTGAAATAATGAAATCGGCGTTTGTTAATGTGTATATTGGCGGTTTAAAGACATATTGGAAAGTTTCGCCCACACAAATGGACTCCCGGGGGTGTATTGGGGTCTATAGGATTTTTCTCGGTAATTTATTTTTCATGGTTAAAAAACCAATCCAAAATTTTTCAAACTAAAGGCTATAATTCACGCTTTTGGAGCAATTTCAAAGGTTTCAGGAGTTGGTGTAGAAAAATCTCAAGATACTAAGGGATGCGTCCTGAGGTCATATAATGTCATTTGCAGCCATATATGATCGTTATATGTTGTCATAAATGCTCGTGTTGGCCATGAATTAATAAAATCTGTGTAAATTGTAAACGAGTATATTGACAGTTTAAAGACAAGTTCGAGGGTCTTTCCCACACAAAAGGACTCCTAGAGTGTATTGGGGTCTATGGGAAGCATCTTGATAATTTTTTTTCCAGGTCTTAAAAATTCCATAATTGTCCAACACTGAAGGCTATAATTCACGTGTTCAGAAACAATTTTGGAAGATTCGGGGCCGGTGTAGAAAAATCGTTAGATAATAGGGGATGCATCTCGGGGTCATATAATGTCATTTGGAATAATATATGATCATTATATGTTGTAATAAATGTCCGTGTTGGCCTTGAATTATTGAAATCGGCGTAAGTTATTAATGGGTGTATTGGCGGTTTAAAGATAAATTTGATGGTTTCACCCAGGCAAATGGAATTCCGGGGGTGTATTGGGATGTATGGGATCTATGGGATGCGTCTCGACAATTTTATTGTCCAGGTCCAAAAAAGCCCACAGTTGTCCAAAACTGATGGCTATAATTCTCGTTTTCGGAACAATTTTGGAGGTTTCGGGACTCGGTGTAGAAAAATCGTAAGATACTAAGGGATGCATCCCGGGTCATATAATGTCATTTGAAATCATATATATGATCATTATATGTTTTCATAAATGGTCGTGTTAGCCTTGAATTAATGAAATCAGCGTAAGTTGTTAATAGGTATATTAACGGTTTAAAGACAAATTGGTAGGTTTCACCCACACAAATGGAGTCCCGCGGGTGTATTGGGGTCTATAGGATGCGTCTTGAGAATTAGTTTTCCAGGTCCAAAAACAAGTCCAAAATTGTCCAAACTGAAGGCTATAATTCACGCTTTTGGAGCAATTTCGGGGGTTTCGAGACCCAATGTCAAAAAATCTCGAGATATTAAGGGATGCATCCCGGGTCATATAATGTTGTTTGAAACCATATACTATTTAGGTTATTCGTTGAAGAGTGAACTTTTATGGAAATGCTCTTTGCACTTTTGCAACACTATCAGCAAATTTAACTGTCGCTACTTTCACATCACCAATCATTGTGTTATTTGTGTAGGTTATTCGTTAATCCTTTCATCCATTAGCCTAGCTAATAACGCTTTACCAAAATAGATTAATTGTGAATATAGTACTTATTGGTTAATATGAGATAATAATGTTTAAGAAATACAATAAGTAGTTTGCACAATATTTCCTAACAAAGCTACTCAACCTTCATTAGTACATTTTTTTTTTAGAGGAAACCTTCATTAGTACATGGTTCAAAGGTAGCAAGAACTGTAAAGTTTGAATATTTGTCTGTTGTCTGCTTTTGTCTCTTGAATTAATTTCAAACAGGAATAACAAATAAAGATAAGAGAGTAATAGAAATTAGTTAAAGTTGAAAGAACGTAGTATGAAACACCTCAATTTGACAGACATTGTCAACATCACCACAATTAAGGTAACAAACCACATACAGCAGGATTGTGTTCTTTGGTTTGGTGGGGAACGGGGGTAGGGGATACAGTGAAATTGTCATTGTAAACAAACATGGCAGTGTTCAACCAATGCTTTTAATAGACATTTACATATAACAAACGATAACTAAACAAACAAAAAAGTACTCTACAAAAGAATCATAGGGAACTAAAGTGTCATACAAAAGAACCTAGCTAGTTGGATGGGCCCGTAACTTGTTTGCAACATATAGTAGATGACTAATATTTGTTGACGGGTAGTTTTGCAAAAGCTTGAGATTGGAAGTAAAATCACCAGCAAGCAACCGTCTCCGGATTAGAATAAGCATAGCACAACAGATTCTTAACAATGTTTCCTGCCACAACATAAGCAACAATCAGTTGTGAAGCGAAGCAGCCAATATTAGCATGAATAAAATGTGCAAATTTCCTTAATGTTCTATGACTATTACATACAATAATCTTCTCAGGGAATATATCCTCAATGCCGCGTTTTTAATATTAAACATTACAGACATATAATCTAATTTTTACACTTACAATTATTGCCATAAATTCCACAAGTATATTGCCAGTATAAGGGATTAAAAAAAATACTGCAGTAGAGGCATAGTAGAGCAGTAACTACGAAGTATTAGCCTTTACAGTCAAACCACATAACTTCCAAGCTCTAGTACAATTCCAACAAAATTTTGGCTCCTAACACTTTGGCTAACTGATGGGCTTCTTCACCCAAAAGTTAATGCAGTTTATAATAATTCTGCTGCAGTACATGATAGTTGATATGTATATAAAATTAAGAGCATAATACGTGCTGCCTATATTATATTGTCAACAAGTAACATAGCCCAATCCCCATACTTAGCTCCAGAACCAAAAAAATTAAAAATAAATAAATAAATAAAAACTTACACACACCTGTGGCCCCTCAGGATCACTTAATAGAATGTCCCAAATATGAAGGCTGTCTGTGAAGCTGAATTCTTGAGTCAAAAGAAGAGTTATCCATCTGAATGCATAAAATTGGGGATTAACCTGTCACCAAAGAGCAGGAAGTTAAGCATTCAGTAACAAGGCCTTGGGTGTACAACAAACATTTATGTCAACTTCACATCATTGGCTTTCCTATCAAATCTGGTGTGTGCTCTGTGTAGTTCATCAGCTGAAACAGCAAGGGCTACCTCTTAAGAGGCACAAGGTTGATATTATTCTATAATGTCATTTGAGCATAACACAAACATACAAGATTGCAGGAAACAAGTATAAATGTTTACAAGTGTGCATTATTAAGAGGCCATCATATAAATTTGAGTCACCAATATGACCCTAATCAGCTGTTTTATTAGGTACGTGGAAATGATTAGGTGGCCATGGAAGTGATACGCAAAAAATTTGAATGAGGGACAGTGAATAAAGTGCAATGAAAACCAGAATCCATTGATTTGGTAAGTGGTTATACAAAACCTGGATTGCTTTTTATGTCTTTGGCCAGCTTTTTTGTTTGTCGAACTCTTTCCTTAAAATTTTGAAGACAAGCTTTAAACAAGCATACAACAGTTATTTTTTTTTAAAAAAAAAAAATGTATTTGCCAACTTTTATTTATTTATGTAATACTGGCAATAGGTACGGTCGAGGTTTCAGTTAGTTTTCCAGACATTCCTACTTTACAATGAAATAATGAATAAATCTTTCATTTTTATAAAAATGTATTTGCCAATCTTGGGATGAGAGGATATTGTCAGTCACTTTTTCCTTTAATAGTTTATCAGTCACTTGTTATGTGGCATTTAAGTAGTGGCCAGCAATAGAGTATACATATAGTCATTCACCAGGTACAAAATCTTGGGAATGAGAGACTTTTTTTTCCACTCAAACCTCACATCTAACTCCAATTTGCTCCCAGAATACGCATACAGCAGTGAGTGAGAAAGAAACCTTCAATCCCATTCTCATTCTTACTGCAGATGTGCCACTACTGTCATTCTACATATCTAGCTTCTTTGTGCAGTCTTTGCTAACAATAACTGTAATTAAAATCAACTGCAACACCACCACCACCCAACATTAAAAGTTCACTATGGATCCCACCTCAGACAAGTACATATATGATGCATCATGATAATCCCAAAATTTATTTACTCGATACATTTTTTTACATCCACAACCTAGGTATTTATTTGTATATGATTCACTAATAAAGAAGACTAATAAAGAACTGATATAGGCTTATACCAGAAGATAATAACTGACAAAATAGATACAACTGAAGGTGGCCAGATAGCACTGAGAATTAAGAGCTATAGGAAGATTGGAGCAGAAAATACAGCACAAACAATACACATTACCTTACAAGTGACCTCCAAGTGACGCCAAAGTTCTTCATCATGTTCTTTTAAAAGCATTGACAATTTTGTGATCGTAGAACGGATTCCGACAACACTATTATCAAGTTGCTGACAGAAATTATCCCTGAATCCACTAAGCAACTCAACAAAACAAAAGAATGTATCTGCTTCAGCAGCAGCCTGCAGAAGAGAAATTATTCACATGATTGGAAACACAATAACTTATGGGGAACATCTATAAAAATTTTGCAGACAAAAAATCAAACGACTATTAAAAGTTTTACCATATTATCAGAAGTAAACAATGCAACATTTTTACAGGGAAATCAAGTATACTATCTCAAATTCTCAATTTTGTCAGTATCCTCAATGGTGGATCTAAGAAATCTTTTGAGCATGCTTCACCAAATAAGTTTTTTCTAAAAGATCTGAAAATGACAGTGAAATGGGTTGCTCTACATGTTAATATACATTAGTATTTATATGACTTTCCCTGATTATATGGCCTCCCCAAGATTTGAACTAGTGACCGCTAATTTCCTATGACATACTAATACCACTAGGTTACTTGCAATTAATGATGCATGAAGTGAATTACAGTATCCATGTCTTAGCCTCCAACACTTCGATACATCACATTCAATACCCAAAACTTCAATCAACTACCACCCCTGATTACCAACCCTGGTTACCAAAATATTCTTACCACCCCTGATTGAACTTGACTGGACCAATCTTGAATTTTATAATAATATTTCATCAAGTCTGCTATGTTGTAACACAGGTAAGACACTGAAGCAGAAATACTTCATGAAAATCAGTAAAAGTATGCTCTCTTTTTAAAAATTATGGGCAAAGGATAAAAAAGGAAGAAAAAGAAATAATCTAGAGAAAGTCATTCTTAAGGCAAGGAGAGGCAAGAGGAGCAAAGAGATTTAAGATGGTACAGTTAAGAAATTCTCCGTCGTAATGCCACATTTAATTCAAATTATTAGGGTGAGTTAGGACATGTGGAAATTTAATGTTGCAATGACATGAGAAAGTGCCAAGTAATTATATACTTGATATTACTCAATTAATTCTCAAGAAAATTTTGCAAAATAAGATAGCATAAAAGTGGCACAGTCCAACTTATTAAGAATGCACAATATCTTCTACTTTGAGGGTGCAGTCCAACTACCAACAAAAGTAGGGATATCAAGAAACAACAGTGCTACACACTGAAAAAGGAAAGTGAAGAAAGATAATTAATAGAGAGAAAAATCTAGAGCAGAGATCTTTAGAACTGAATAATCCATAGAGCAAAGGAAAAAAAGGTACCTAGAAGAAGAAGATGATGTAATTGAAGCAGGAAATCAGCAGTGCAAAGGAGAGATCAAATCAGGGAGAAGAAGAAAGATTCCAAGACAAAGAGAGTCAATATATTGGCTAGTCACCGCTATTTATTTATGGTTTGTATAGCCTTTTGCCCTAAAGATGTCACATAGACTGACTAATGAGATCATTTTAAATTTCCCAATATTTATACAAGTTTCCAAAGTACAAGCATCAAAGAATGTAGGTAACCAAGAAAATGGCACTATTGAAAGATTCCAAGATTAAGAGATCCAATCTATTGGCTAGTCACTGCAATGACTGATGAGATTATTTTAAATTTCCCAATAATTATAGAAGTTCCCAAAGTACAAGCATAAAAGAATGTAGGTAACCAAGAAAATGGCACTATTCATCACATGCCTTGATGGAGACACCGCAACGTATGTGAAGCAAAGAGGCCTTTTCCTAGTAGCTAAGTGTGCCTCAAAAACAATTTTACTTATAGAAACTAGGATGACAGGAAGTCAGGAAGAAACATTCCAAGCGTAGAGCAATCATATAACTAAAGATAGTGAGAATATCACCACTTTACCAGGTTTCCTTTTACTTGGACTATATCAGGCTTAAGGATAAAAGATCAACATGTGAGTGACATAACTAACATGCAGGACTTATTGGTCTATAATAAAATGCAGTAAAAGTTTAAATTAAAGGTAGATGAGATCTCTATGTTCAGGCATCCTAGGTCTCATCTCTCACAGACAAAAAAAAAAAAAAAATCATATATAGCATATACACAGTGATACATATTTGTCCACACATTTTATTAACTTACAGAGTTTTCCTCATCTGGATCATTCCTAAAAACATAGAAGAGAGGTGCCAATAACTCATTCATTCCTTGTACGTATCTTATGCCGGGGTTTAGCTTAGCGAACACAATCAAAATGTTCCTCAGAGCCTCCTACAGTAGTAAGAATGTCATTGATAGCAAAACTACCACAAATAGAAGACAAAGATAGCAAAACTACTAACCTGATTTAATTTTGCAGAAATCGTATCCCCGGAGAAAAATTGCATATCTGGGTGAGTTCTTTTCACATCCCGATCAATCTGCTCGATGATCTCTGTGTCCTAAGCACGCATTACAGCATTCAGAAATCTTATATTGTTAAAGACTTATCAAAAAGAAAATTGATTTAAGAAAAAAGAACTGAGAAACTCCATCCCCCCCCCCCCCTCCCCCAAAACCCTTCCTACAAAATGATACTTATGAAAGAAAGATCTGCATAAGAAAGAAGAAGCACTGTCAAAGTCTCAATTCATCTCTCCGCTCAGAACATCAGATTCTCCTTTTTAATTTTAACAACAGTCAGACATAATAGAGTAACACCAGCCTCTTTCCAAAGTCTCAGACTTGTGTTCCAGGTAAACATTTACATAACAAAACATCTAATATTGTTTCATTAATCATGACAGCAACCAATATACTTAGCAAACCTAACATTAAGATACCAAAGATAAAAGAACATTTACTGAAATATATGCAAGCACGTCAACTATCTAGGTCCACAACAAGAGCATAGTCTTTCAAAAATAAAAGAACAAAACTATAAGGGCAACATATGAATAAAATTAAACAACACATAAATTAATTTACTTTTCCAACAAACCATAGGGAAACCCCCCCCCAAAAAAAATGGCCTCCTAGGTTCTCGTGGGTTTCATGAGCAAAGATTGTCAAAATCTAAAATCTATAATCCACGTTTCGAACCGAATTTTTATGAACATGTACGGTGTCCCCTGAAGGTCTTAAAAGTTGGTTTGAAGCTATAGCAGGCCTATCAATAGGTGTATAAAGTCTCGAAAATGAGTTTTGCTATAGCACGTCAATTTCAAAAGCAAGTTTATAGTGGTAGTCAAAAGCTGCAATAGTTGGTTGCAAACACCAACTTGAAATCCCTGACGTAGTGACCATGGGAAGCACCTTGTCCCTTTTTCTATCTGCTTACATAACTCCAAAAATGTCCCAAATTTTACACTTCATTTCTATCTGCTCACATAACTCCAAAAATGTCCAAATGTTACACTCAGACCATAGTATAAAAATGCAGTTTCGGTCACGATCGTGGAAACGGTTGCGGTATCACGGTAACGGTATTGATGTATTGATCACGGACCGGGTCGCGGTTGTAGCGGTAGAATTTCATCAAAAATTTATTTATCTAAATATTATAATTTACAAATTTTAATTAATTTTTATATGGGTTTTAAATTGAATTAGTATACTTTTATGACCTTTAAACCAAAAAACCATATGTCCGTAGTACTCCAAAGTATGTTTTATCTTTTATTTACCCATTGACAACAATTTAAAAACAAATAACAAACATAAAAGGCCAACTGTCGTAGCAAGTGACTATTGGCCCTATTGTCCCACCAACTTACTACAATCAATCAATCAATCAATCAAAGCCTTAATCCCACAAAAGAGGGTTGGCTACATGAACCAAAAGTGATTATTCCGTGTAGACATCGACAAACTTCTTCCTCCTCCATCCCTTACAATCCAATGCCTCATCCTCATGCAAATCAATATACTTCATATCCTTCCTAACAAGTCAATTTCGGTCTCCCTCTCCCTCGTTTAAACCCTTCATGATCCTACTCTTCGTACCGGTGCACCAACTAATTACTACACAATAAAATAAATAAATAAAGCCTACCAAACCCATTACTTCAATGTGACTGTCTCTTTACAACTGTCCCACTATTTACTTTCTCTTTGTTCCTTTGGTTCTAATTTAAGAAACTCATCGGTTTCAATGGAGTTTCTCAATTTCTTTTCTTTTTTCCTTTTCTTTTTGTCAATAAAATGAGTAATTCTAAAGTCAACAACGTCTATGCAGGCAAGATTCATTTCATATTGGGTGTATTGGCCAAAATCTCGGTCTTTTGAAAAATGGCGTGCTAAAACGGGAAATATCGGATCGGTAAGTTTGAAATCCGTTACAAACTAGCCGGTTCACGACGTGACGGCCGCATTTTTATATCATGCTTCAGACCAGTTTCTAATTTTTTTTTTAGTTAAAAGTATAAAGGAAGAGTCGGGTGTCTTGTGAGAACATAAAAGTTTATTTGGAACCATAACATGCATATCAATATATCTATAAAGTTTCAAGAATGAATTATTTGGTTTTTTACTACTATTTCGAAAACATGATAATAGTAGAGCTAGTAAGAAAAGGTTCCAATCGCCAAATTGGAATACAAGGCCTTGTGAGTACACGCTTTCTGACCAAATTCAGGGGAAAAAAAACCAAAATTATAGTAAAAGTGTAAGGAGTCCCCTACGATGATAAAAATTGGTTTGGAGCCAACGAAATCCTACCAATAGGTATATAGTCTCAAAATTGAGTTTTGTTCACTTATGACTTTCAAAAACACGTAAATAGTAGTCAAGAGTAGCATGAGATGACATCGATAACCAACTTTGAATACTTGGGTATCCTAAGGTCCACGAGAATCACCTCGACCACTTTCCTTTCCCAACTTTCCAAGCTCGGAAAAGACAAAAAATGTACAAATTTAAACCATACCAGGCTACCAATAGGCCTAAAAAGTATGTAAAATAAGTTTTGTTCAATGATTTGAGTATTTTTAAAGCATGTTTATAGCGAAAATAAAGAGCCACAAGAAATAGTTCCAATCACTACAATGAATCAGACATTTTTCTTTCCTAGTACATAAAATTCAAAATTGTCCAAATTTGAAGGATTAATCCACGCTTTGGAACCAATTTTAGAAATTTTTACCAAAATTGAAGTGAATGAGGAATTTGAACGCAAGGGATGGAGGAGTACGGAATAATCACTTTTGATTCATGTAGCCGACTCCACTTATGGGATTATGGCTTTGATAGATTGATTGAAGTGGATGTTTGCCCCAAAGGTCATCTAAGGTTTGTTTAAAGCATAAAAAGCCTATGAATAGGTTTATAACGTCTTAAAGAATAAATTTTGTTCAGTTATATGACGATTTCGAAAAAAGTTAATAGTGGTAGTTAAGAATTGCAAGAGATGGTTACCTTCACGAGGTCCCATCAAATATAGTTGGTTAAAAACCATGGCATATTTACCAATAAAGCTATGAAGTCTCTAGATGAGTTTTGTTCTATTATAGGACTATTTTGATCAATCAATCAAATTTTTAATCCCATAAGTGGGGTATATGACTATTTTGAAAACACGTTAAAAGTGGTAGTTCATAGCTACAAAGACAATTAAAATCACCATCTTGGAATCCCGTGGTCTTGTGGAAAGAAGCACTGCAACCTCAATCAGGCCCGAAAAAGTCAAGAATTGTCCAAATATGAAACCTATAATAAACGTTATCGAACCATTTTTGGAAAACTTTTCCAAAATTGAATTTGGTGGGTGGGGTGCCTCAAGGTCATATAAAATGGTTTTAAACCATAACTAGCCTAAGGAATCTATAAAATCTATCGAATGAGTTGTGTACAATTATATAGAGATTTCAAAAACATGATTATAAAGGGGAAAAAATAACAAGAAATGATTCCAATTGACAAACAAGTCCATAGGAAGCAACTTAGCCTCTTTACTTTCCCGGTGAGTAAAAGTCTAAAATTGTCCAACTCCGAAGATATACACGCTTTCAAACCAATTTTGGGACTTTTTCTTAAATTAAAGTAGATATTTGTTGTCTCTCCCAAAGCTATAAAAGTTGATAATGAGCCATAACTAGCTTGCCATAGTTCCAATCAAAAACATGTTTGTAGCAAAAATAAAGAAACGAGAAATGGTTCCAATCACCGTTTAGAATATCATTTAAGGTGAATGGGAAGTACCTCAACAACTAGAAGGCTATAAATTACACTTCGGACCAATTTTGAAAAAAAAATTAAACTTGAAGTGGATGTTTAGGTGGTAAGGTCATCAAAGGTTGATTAAGAAGTATAAATGGCCTACCAATAGGACTGTAACGTCTCGAGATTTTGTTCAACTATAAGACGTTTTCTAACCAAATTGGGGATTTTTTGTTTAAATCAAAGTCAATGTGTTGCTTGTCCCCTTAGATCATAAAAATTAGTTTGTGACCATGAAAGGCCTACCAATAGGTTTAAAAAGTTTAGAGAATGACGTTTATTTGATTATATGACCATTTTAGAAACATGTATCCAATCCTAATCAACAAGATCTTTGGGATCCAAGGGAAGCAGTTTGGCTTCTTCACTTTTGAGGTCTTAAAGACTACAATAATGTTTTGAACCAATTTCGGGAAATGTTTCCAAAATTGAAGTTGATGTGTAGGATCTCCCGAAGACATAAAAGTCTATTATAAATCATAACTATCTTACTAATAGTTTTATAAAGTTTCAAGAAAGTTTTATTCAATTATATTTTCATTGGGTCCATAGGAACACTTGGCCACTATCCTTACTAAATTCGAAAAAGTTGAAAATTGTCAAAATTCGAAGACTATATCCATGCTCTTGGACCAATTTCAGGATATTTTCTCAATATTAAAGTGAATGTTTGAGGTGTCCCCTAAGGCCATCAAAGTTGGTTTAAGAACATAAAAGGGCTACCAATAGGTCATTAAGGACTATAACTTCGATTAAAAAAAAAAAAATTATTCAATTATATGACATTTTAGAAAAACAAGTTTTATGTTTATAGTGGTATTTAGATGCAAGAGATATTTCCAATCACCAACTTAAAATCCTAGGTCTCATAGGGTCTAGGAGAAAAACCGCAACCACTTTCCTATCTAAGCCCACAAAGGTCAAAATTGTCCAAATATAAAGCTTTTCATCTAATTGCAGGAAATTAATTCTAAATTGAGGTTAGAAGGTCATAAAAGTTGTTTTTGAACCAAAATTAGCAAATAAATAGGTCTATAGAATAACTTTTGTTCAATTAAAAAATATTTCAAAAACATGTTTATAGGGATAATAAAATACGGTTCAGGGATTTTGACACTTTCGACCTAATTTCAGGGATTTTGTGGGGTGTCACCCAAAATCATAAAAGTTTATTTTGAACCATAACTAACCTATTAAGAGGTCTATAAGGTATATAGAATGAGTTTTATTCAATATGAATATTTCAAAACCATGTTTATAGTAGTGATAAGGAATAGCACGAACTAGTTTCAATCACCAAAATGGAATTCTAGTGCCTCATGAGGTACACAAGAAGCAGAGAAGCTTCTTTACTTTCTAAGTCCAGTAAAGTAAAAAATTGTCCAAAATTATTCACGGTTTTGGACCAATATCAGGGAATTTTTCCAAAATTGAAGTTGTTGTGTGAGGTGTCTCTTTGAAGTTCTAAAAAATAATTTTGAACCATAACTAGCCTACTAATATGTCTATAAAGTCTCTAGAATGAGATTTATTAAATCATATAACTTTCAAGACATAATTATACCGTTTGAATATAGAGAAATGGTTGCAAACTTGCAATCATCAACATGGAATACCAAGGCTTCGTGTCACAATCCGAGTGTTTTTAACATTGGGTCGTGCGGCGCGTTCTTATCTTTTGGCAACAAGGACGCAAGCCTAGAGCGAAAAGGGTACGTGAACACACAGCGACACGGACTAAGGGTATCTCAAGGAAGCACACGTCTACAACGAGTGCGGAGTCGGGGCTTGTGACGGCCGACATTTCGAAGCGGGCACAAGCGGGACAGACGACAACAAGGGTGTCGTTTGGAGTTCTCTTGGTTTGGAGGGGATGCTTTAAAACAAGGCAAGCACAATATCTATAAAGGCTTAAATCAACACACAAGTCTTAAAGCAATGCAACCCGGTAGGGAGCTTTGATTCATTCAACCAATCGCTCCCATCGCTCCCTATAGAGCTTTAAATAGGATTTACAATGGAAATCTAGTGAACACTAGATTGACAGTAACACAATAATTCTACTTAAAGCCTAGAAAAACTTAAAGAAGAGCCTAGAAAGCTAAACATAAGCAAAATACAAGTAAAAAGAAAGAAGAATACATAAGAAAGGAGGTGGATTATAACACTTCGTTAGGTACATGTGAAGCACTTAAATTCTTTACTTTTCGAGATTGAAAAAGAGGAAAATTGTCCAAAATAAATCTGAAGGCTATTCATGCTCTTAGACCAATTTCGAGAATTTTTTCCAAACTTTGTTTGAGGTATGCCACAAGGTCATCAAGATTAGTTTGGAAGCATAAAAGGTCTAACCAATAGAACTATATCAAGGATAAATATTGATTAGTTATAGAACAATTCCACAAACATGTTTATAATGGTAGTTAGGAGTTGCAAGAGATGGTTCTGGTTCCAATCCTGGTATTATGGGCGGGCACTTTCATATCCAAGCTCACAAAGGTCGAAAATTGTCCAAATATAAAGCTTATTTAATGAACATTTTCTAACCAATTTTGAGAATTCCAAAATAGAGGCTGATGGAGGGTCTCTTTAGTGTCATAAAGTTGGTTGTGAATCATAACTAACCTACCAATAGGTAAAAAAATGTCTCCAAAATGAGTTGTTCAATTATATATTACAAAATGCTATATAGCGATAATAAAGAGAAGTAAGAAAGGGTTGCAATCACCAAGGTCCATGGGAAGTAGCTTAATCTTTTTACTTTTTGGGTCCTAAAAACTCTTAAATTTTCCAAATCCAAATGTTAAAATACATGCTTTCTAACTATTTTCGGGATATATTTCCTAAAATGGATGTTTAGTGGCCCTCTAGGTCATCAAGGTTGGTTTGGAAGCATAAAAGACATACCAAATACCAATGGGTCTATAACGTCTCAAAGTTACATTTTGATTAATTATATAACAATTTCAAACACATGCTTATGGTGATAGTTAAAGCTATAAGAGACAATTCGAACTTGGAATCTTAAGGCCTCGAAGGATCCACGAAAATCACCTTAACCACTTTCCTTTCTAAACCCACAAACCTCGAAAGATGTTTAAGTCTGAAAGCTATAATTCACACTTTCCTACAATAGTAGGAAAAATATTCCAAAATTAAAGTTGACGTGTGGGGTGTTTTCCAAGAGCACATAATTTGGTTTGGAACCATTGCAGACAAACCATTAGGTCTATAAAGTCCCAAGAATTAATTTTGTCTAATTATATGACTTTCATTAACAGATTAATAGTGGTCGTTAAGAGCTACAAAGATGATTGGGGTCGACAAGAAGCACCTTGGCCCAATCCTTCAGTAAATTTGTACAATTATGAAAGCTATAATCCATGCTTTCTAACCAATTTAGGAATTTTTTTTCCAAAATTGAACCAATACCATAATACAATAAAAAGCCTACCACTAGGTTTATAAAGTCTATAGAATGAGTTTTGTTCAATTGTATGACTATTCTAAACACTTGTTTACTAGCGGTAATAAAGAGTAGCAAGAAATGGTTTCAATCACCAACTTAGAGAATTTTTTCCAAAATTGAAGTGGATTTGTGCGGTGTCCACACGAGTTAAGTTGGTTTGAAACTATAAAAGGCCTGCCAATAGGTATATATAGTCTCAAAAGAGTTCTGTTCAATTACATAAGACATTTTTATAGCGTTAGTAAAGAACGACAAGAGATATTCTAATAACAAACTAGGAAACCCGAGGTCTCCGTCGGATCATGGGAAACACCCCTCCTTACCTTTCCAAATCTGAAAAATAAAAAATAAAAATGTCCAAATTTGAAGGCTAATCCATGATTTCAATATAATTTCAGGAATTTTTTTCAAAATTGAAATGGATTTGTGGGGTGTCCCCAAGGTCATAAAAGTCTGTTTTGAACCATAAAAGGCGTACTAATAGGGCTATATTCAATTATATGACTTTTGCAAATGCATGATTATAATGGTAGTCAAGAGAAGCAAGAGATAGTTACCATCATTAACTTGGCATCCCGTGGTCCTATTAGTGTATCGACTATTCCTAATTCATAGAGCTACCAAACCCAAACCCACCCATTCCTTCACAAACCATTAAAAATAGTTTTTTTTTACTATGATTATTTTACAATTCTCCATAATGAAGCCTCTGTTTGATTATTTTAGCATTACCTTTGAGTACAGAAGAGGATATGTCAATAAAAATGTAAAATTGTAAGAGTATGAAATTTTGTTGTAGAGGATCTTTTTCTAAGTCTCATATAGAATATTTATTCAAGAAATGTATAATTATTAGCAATAGTTTGCAATTTGGATTATAATACACCTCTTCAAGCTTAATCCTTGAGGTTACCAATGGCTATGTGATTTCCCACAATTGTGATGAACATTATGATGATTGATGATCTCAAATAGATTGAAAATTTCTGGTTCGTCTCCATTTTGTGAAACTATTCCTCAAACAAGGCAGCACATGAACATGATCCGGTTAAATAAACAAATCAGGCAAGTTAGGTCCGTGTTACCAGTTTATTAAACAAGTTGTGTTCGTGTTTAGCCTTCCTGACTCGTTTAAAAAAAATGTTGCATGGCCAAGTTGTGTGTACTTTTCCAACAAAACATAGGAAACCCCTGCCCCTCCAAGGCCCCAACACACAGACACATACAAAAAGAGAGTGAAAAGTAAATAAAAAAGTAACATGAAACAGTGTCAAAGTATAATATTTAATATTTTCAATAGAAATCAGTGATCAATTTGAAAAGAGCCAATGCGATACTTGATATTGTGGGTATTTACCTGAAAAAACTGATTCCATAAACTGGATTGTCCAAGGCTAAGAGGATGCTCATCTTGAACAATCTCTGATCTTGAGAGTACGCAGCGACTTTCACCTTTGAGTTCATCCTTATCAGCAATTGATGACTTCTCCAGCTTCCTCGAAATTTCTGACTGACTAGCCACATAGACATTCAGAAATGCCAAACTTTTTACAAAAGAAAATAAAAATAAAAATAAAGGTAGGGCAACAACATTTTGACATTGACATGGACATCATAGAGTTTAAACCAGAATTGACATGCGCAAGCAATATAAAATGGCAAGCTCCAGAATAGCATTATTAGTACATGTAGTTTGAACAAAACACATCAGGAAAGAAAACTTGATAAATTGTTTTGTGTATAAAGACTATAAACAATGGAAATTGAATGAGTAATACAAGAAACAAGTTAAGAACAGTAGTCCACGAGTTTGAAACATGAAAGAAACGCGAAGCAAAATCGAAAGTGAAAGGAAACAAAGACAAAAAAAGAAAGAAAAGAGAGAAGAGGACATACGGGAGACATCAAGAGGTCATCCTTGAAATGGTTGTATTGAGACCTCTTGTTGGCTAATTCAGAGGGCCACATTACTCGATCACTGGGCAAATACCCCAGCAGAAGCTGCCAATTGCAATTGAAATTCATATTTTTAGGGATTCCAATTCCGATTAAGTAAGTAATCAACTCAAAGTATGAAATAAATAGAAAGTGAGAAAGAAACCTTCCAGACAGTAGAGCGGATGGCAGGAGCATCAGGAAGACCCATGGATGCTAACCTCCTGATTTCTCTGATGTTGATGACCTTCTTCGACAGCTTTTACAAATTCAACAAATTAGGTTAGGTTAGGAGTTGTTGGTGATGAATTGAATAGAAAAAGAAAGAAGAGAGAGAGGAACCTCGAGTGAGAGCTGAGCATGGCGAGAGATCTCCTCGGCGGTAGGAGGAGGAGAAGGAGAAGGAGAAGCAGAGGAAGTGGAAGTGGAAGTGGAAGTGCCATTGGAATCCGGCGGCGGAGGAGGTGGCGACGGAGGTCGAACCGGCGACGGAGGACGGACGACGGGTGGAGGAGAGAGATCTTGAGTTTGAGTGATGGTGGTAGCAGACGAAGAAGGAGGAGGCGTAGACCAGAGTGAAGAGTTCAACCAATCAGGTACTTTCTTCTTCTGCTTCTTTGAGTCTTTCTCATTTTCATTCACCATCTCAGATTGTGCAGGAGAGAGAAGGTAGAAGAATATCGAAGATGATCGCAATAATGAATGTTGAAAATTGAAAAACCCCAGCAGGTCAGGGCAACGTTGGTGATTGAGGAAGAACAAAAGTAAAGGAAGGTGGTGGCCAAGTGTTGCTTTGTATTTCGAAGGAACTACACGTGTGGTGGGGAATGGGTTCTTACGCTCAACCCTCCAAGCCCGCATAGCTATACTTTACTACCATATTTATTCAAGTGAACTTATTTTTTTATAATTTAAACCTTTTTATTCGATATTACATAGTATTTTAAAAGTATAAAAAATTTATTGTAGTGTAATGTACTTCCTTAGTTTCAAAATAAATGTCTCAATTTGACTTATATAATACTCCGTATTCATATATAATCTCAATTCATACTTAACATTCACGCACTGATAAAAAGAAAGTTTAGCCCATATCAAACCTTTATTCCCTCTCATTTTGATCCTATTTTCATAACCGTCTAGCATTTTCTAGCTTAGTTTGCTTGAAATTTGCAAATTTGAGGTATGCCTCTTTTTGTAAGCATTAGTTATTTTTCCTTCTTTTGTAGGACTTGTAAATCCTGCTTTGTGTTTAATTTGATAGGTTTGTCCTTGGGGATCCTCATCCCACACACAAAACATAAAATAGCTAGTAGCGATATTAGGCCATTTGGAAGAGTTTTATAAAGATTTTGCACAGCCGTCAATTATAAGTGATCACAAAATTTTTAACTCAAACATTTGAATTAACTTGGAGATGAAAATATAGTTCAACAGTTGTACAGTGATGGGGAAATAAAAGTGATGCCCATCCAAATAAAGCAATAAAAGTGTATACTTCGTATAGGTTGGTATGTCATTTACGTTTCAAATCAGAGATCATGGATCCAAATTCTTCATGGACATCTTTTTTGTGTGTGAATGAGCCACAAGGAAATAGTAGAAATTGAATAAACACAATGTTTTCTTCTATTGACTACGATATTGACATACAATCCATTTTACAGTATTTCTTTTCCTGTTCATAGCAAAGTAGGCACGTAGCTCGTTCTACTAGAGGTTTTTTCCACTCCCAAAAATACATCAAATGTTGGATCTTGAGTTTTGGTGGACATGAATTTCAATGAGTTTATCTTACGACTCGTTATTGAGCAAGTTCAGCTCCCAGTGATGTCAGCTGAACAACGTTGTGCAAGTTGGTTCCCAACTTCCCACGCACTTTAAACAGAACATCACAAAGCATTAACCAGTATAGACACCATCAACCAATAAATTCACGAAATTCTTATGAGCTTTGGCTTCTGAATCCATAGCAATATACGAAGTAGCTCATAGTCTCATACGCATTATTCCAAACCAGCAATGAGGCATAGCTAGTTGAAAAAAGTAGTTTAACAAACAAATTACCCTAAAAGATAATTTTGCGAAAGTGAAATTAAAATGGATATATTTCAGGAACAATTGGGATCAAGTCATAAGAAATAAAAGTTTGCAAGATGGAACCCAAATCCAAGCTAACTGCAATTGCATATATTGGGATTATCCACTCAAACCAGTATACAAAGCCATATGAAGAGATAAATAAGGTTTGGCTCAAGAGATGTTTAAACCTTCAGAGAACACCAAAGTGAGGATTCTCAATGGCTGATTGCAGTTCTTTACCAGCTGAATTCAGCACAGCAGTATCAACCTTTTCCCTGGGCATAAATAAGAATTCTCCGTCTTCACTCTTCTCAAATCCACACAGCTCAAGAAATTCAATGCCTCCTTTCAATCCACCAACTCTATCCTGCAACAAAACATGGCATAAAACAGGTTGATATTAGACTATTGAGCTATGTTCTTTGCCATTCACATCCAATAGTAAAAACTCATCATAAAGCCATTATCTTCACCATTCAACAATATGAGAAATTACCAGACATTTTGTAACATGCTATTAGACCATTAGTATAGCATGTCAAACCCATACCTGAAAAGCCTGGTTAGTAAGTCTGATTTTCCTGAATTTCTCCTCATCTGGATTCTTCACCACATTGCCTGCATAGGTAAAAAGAGTTTGGAATGCTTTCTTTACCCTGGCATCCTCGTCCTGGTTCAGCAATTGACAACAAACAGCTATAAGAATTACGGCTATGTTGTGAACCACCCAACCGGTTGATATTCATAAAACATGTAAATTCAAGAATTAGAGTGCAAACAAGCAAAAAGCATTGAAGACATGATTCACCTTATGATTCTTTTTTAAAGATCGAAGGCACTCTCTCATTTGCTCTGCTTTTGTAATAGGCTTAACTGGCAAAATACTCTGCAATTCATATATAAATACATCACAATAATGGCAAATTCTAAATTTATAGATTAACTTCACAATTATGCCCATCTTAACAAATATCCACCTTTTTCTCCTCAACAACGGGTTCAGAAGGTTTTGCAGCAGCAGGATCTTCTGGAGGCAACCCAAGTTTGCGTCTTCTTTCAGCCTGTGAAACCAAGGGAAAGAAAAATGTCAGATTACCACTGGTCCTCAATATTCAACTAAATAGATCCACTAATTTTCAGGCCACAAACTTCAAGATGGCACTCAGAGAGGTAATAGAAAGTACAATTAAAATGTAATACCCTAATATTTTAGTAATCTATCTAATAATTTATAAAGAAAAGTTTGGTTTAGTTTTACTCTCTCTCAAATTTACGAGTAAGTTATTTTTTTTATGTTTTAAGCATATTAAGTTTCGGGGACGAAACTTGTTTTAAGGAGGGTAGATTGTAATACCCGTAATTTTTCTATTTTAAGTTTTGGGGACGAAACTTGTTTTAAGGAGGGTAGATTGTAATACCCGTATATTTTACAATGTGTATTATTTTGATAAAATTTATATTTTATTAAGGATTTTTAATCTCTTTTATGAGAGGTACAAATACCCCCTCACCCTAATAAGCTTCACTAAGAAGTGTTTAGCTTTATTTTTCTCATAGTGCTGTCATATGTAATAAGCCTACATGTATGATCATATTTTTGGTTTGCTCAATCGTCAATCGCAACCATCGTTTATTATACTTGAAGCTATAGCATAGTTCGTTGTTTCATGGATCTTTGACCGTGTTTCAATGTCCGAGTACCGATCATAAGGTAATCACACGAATTTATTAATTCTTGGAGTTGTATGTTATAGTTTATTGTCTCGTAATCACACTTAGTCGTTTTGGAGTTGTTTGCCTTCTCGTATTATTATACGTAATCACGCCTTAATTCTTGGAATTGTATGATGATATTGTTTGTATTGATTATACTTCGTATTGTTGTGTGGTAAATTTTATAATTTCTTATTTGTATGATCAAGATTTATATATGTGTGATTAGTGTGTTGCATTATATGATTTAATTTTCTTGTTGTATATGATTGATTGTATAAATATATATATTAGGGTTTCTAATGATGTTGCTATAGGGAGTTTGTTTTATATTATTGAGGTTTTAGGGTTATTAATGCAGAGTATTATTTATTTTTGGGTTGTGAGTTAATTACATTTGGGTATTAGTTTTATTACCCTATAAGAAATGAGATACATATGAATCGAATTGTTATGTTATTTTGGGAACATGTGCCATTGTTGAGATATTATTATTAATCCGTGAATGGTAATTTGATCAATGTATGAGATCAAAAGGTTGAGAATTATTATTTTTTTCTTGGTTTGAGGCTCGGCACTATTAACCTTAGTCCTTGGCATGTTGGTAAGGAGATAATAATCATGAGTTAAGAATGAGGTACAATCTTTATTTATATTTTTCAATGGTTCCCCTATAGTGGGATTTGACCCATATTGGTCATGGTTAGAGGTGCTTTCTGGTTATTGGTTATTGGTTATTGAGAGTATTCAAGTATTTATACTTGCTGGTTTATGTATTCGAATTACTCATTTCCAAGGCTAGGTATAAAACAAAGAGCATAGCACACTTATGGGATAGATGAATTAATTGAGTAAAAGATCGTATTATTATTCGAGGTTGTATTTGACAAAGGTTATTTCCAGAGTGCAAATGTGTAATGTAGTTTTAAACTACATTGTTTAAGTGAATTAATTATGTTAATTATTCTATTGTTCTTTGTATTTTGATCAATGGTGATTGTGTTGTTTGTTTGCTTTGCTACTTGTTTGCGACCATGTCTTTTTCTTATGGTGGCCCTGCAACGATCTATTTTGGAATTTGTCCTTAATGGTGAGCAGTGAAGATTGTACCAGGTTAATCAAGTGATCGTAGCTAAAGGAGTTCAAGTGTTTCGATTAGTATTTTATCACGAGTTTGTAAAGGTTAATTAATAGTTCGCTTAAATTATTGAGTTGTAATTATTGGGATTTTGTAAGCCTTAACACTTGACAAGTTGTTGAGTGTGGCGGTGATACCTCCGATTTAGGTGTATGCTTCCGCAATTTTATTTAAAGGTTGTTTATTTTTCTTTAATTCTTGTTTATTATTAGTTAGTAAATCGGGGGTGTTACAAAGAAAAAATGTTGCAGAGATATTTAAGCTTGAAATCTTGCAATCAAGACCTTCTAATCTAACTAAACTAATCATAAAGGTGTACAACAAGGCAGAAAAGATATTAGAACCTTGTCTTCTTCCAGCTTTTTTCGAATTTTTTCCAAGGCTTTTTTCTCTTCTTCTTTCTCTGCCTTCCTGAAGGCTATCAAACTGCCAAAGCAATACACATTAATACAAGAACCATGTCCTTTCTGCAGTGAAGAAAATTAGAAAGCATATTCAAGTGCACATTGATTATAGAGATACTAAAAGAAGCCAAACCGTTTTCTCTCATTATCTTCTTCAATACGCTTTGCCTCAAGAAGTTCCTTTCCAATTCGAATCCTCTCCTACATAAATTCCTAACAATTGTAAGAACTACAACATTGAATAAATTAACTACTCGCTTTGCTAGAGGTTTTATACTCTGTTTTTCAAGAGATGGTGAAATAACAATCTACGTTTTAGGAGTTATCAAACTTAACCATAAGATATTTTCAATTTTTTTGCATGAAAACGCTTAACATAGCATTAAAGAAACTCCAATGAAATAATGTATACAACTATACAAGAACCAAAACACATAGCATTCAATGTGCATAAGATTTTAATTGCATGGATAAATATGAATCTATCAAGCACAAGAGGGACAAAAAACAATGTGTACTCAGCTTGCAGTTCTCTTTTCTGACCATTTTTTAGCAGATTAATTTCTCCACTTGCTTTAGTAATATGGCCTAGTGCCAAGATGAAGTGGTAGTCAATTATAATAAGACATTTCAGCATTTCTTACTCCAACTTTAGGTTTTACAAAGATTGTATAAAATCTGATAGAGTAGGTAGCGTTATTAGACCAATTATAAGGTAGCTTCCCATATCTCAATAGGTGTAAGTGATAACAAAAAAATAATAACATAAGAAATAGCTTGAGTTTAGCCAACTGATAAGTATAGCAGACGTGCAAATGCTTCTTGTACATAAGCTCTGTTTAAACAAACATTGATATGCACATCAGCAATTCAACTTAACACGACACAACTAATGGTTGTACCTTTTCTTTCTCTCTTTCTGCCCTTTTTTCTTCCTCTTCCTTCTTTTTGCGTGCTCGCTCTCTAATTATTTTCAGAGAAGACATCAAAAAAATTATGAGGTACAACAATAACAAAATAGGATAATACATCAGCTTTTAACTGACTAAAGTCAATTTTGATCTTATATATATAAAAAAAATATCTGTATCAAGTACAGAAGTACAAAAAAATTAAAAAGAACACTATAGATAGCAAGGTGATGAATACTACCAGACCAAATACTACCTCGATAATTTTATTTTAAAAAAGCTGTAAACAAACATAGATCAAAATCATCATCCAGACAGTGAAACGACTGAACAGCTCTAAACCTATGTTTGGATAGCAATCTAGAAGGGAAAGGGTGGGGAGGGAAGTATAACGAAGGGGAGGGAGAGAGTGAGCTTTTATTTTCTTTCCAAATCTTTCTAATATTGGAAGGATTTGGTTTATTAAAGGAGAAGGACAATGGGTCCTTCCAATTCCCTTCCCATCCCTCCTTCCATATGTTCCAAATAAGGGATGACAATTCCCTCCCTTTCTCTTCTCTTCCTTTCCTTCCATTTCTATCTATCCAAACAAGGTGTAACAAACTAGAGGGGATTTGGGCAAATTGACTACCCTCACCTCTCAGTCCTGCCTTTGCCGCTCAGTTTCACTGGACATTACCCTTTATTGGAGACACTCACAAGTCATATGTCATGAACAACTAAAAATATCCTGCTCCTGTCTTAAACTTCTAGCACTGTGAAGTCTTTGAAATAGCCAGCTCCAAATAATTTACCCGCAAAGAAGGCCTTTATTAAAAATTTCCTTGCACATCTCTTTGTTTTCCAAATTCTTCATCTTATAAATACACAGTTTTATATGCACAATAAGGACTCTTATCCAAAGGAAAAAGCTGCAGTCTTTAGACCCAGGTGAACTAAACACAAACTTTGTACAAAAGCTTTTGGCTCACTAATTTGGTTCCATCCTTTCAATTAGAAAGTATGGAGTATAATAAAGTGGCAAGCAGACTCAGCATATAATTAAATCAACTATTCTTGTTGCAGTTATGGGGAAAAGAAAGAAGGTTAAAATGTATAGTAAATATGAATTATCTAAAAATAAATTATGAACTCGAAGTGGTAGAGACTTATCGAGGCTATTCGGACCCCAAAGGAAATGTTTAGAACCTGATACAACTGTATAGTTTATTCACATAATACTACTAGGGGTGAGCAAAACTTCCAAGTACGCGGAATTGGAACCGGAACCGGTTAGGAACTGGCGGGTCCGGAACCGGAATTGGACCCGGTGATTCCAATTCCGCCGTAATAAATTAAGGAACCGGTTCCAATTCCAATTCTCAATTTTTTGGACCCGGAACCGGTTGGGTACCCGATTACCCAACATGTGTTACACTAAATAAGTTTTTTAAAATAAAATTATGTTAAATGTATCTAGTTAATAAAATAAATAAAAATATTATTAATACCTAACATAAATAAAATAGCTTAATGTATATATAAATACAAGTGTTAGACGCTAAAAATGAAAATAGACTAAAACAAGTATTATAATATATATTATATTTTAACAATTATATACATAAGTGGGTACCTGGAACCGCAACCGGTACCCAATGGTTCCAATTCCAAGTCTTAAATTTTAGGAACCGCTAGAACTCATTCCAATTCCGGTTCTAGATTTTAGGACCCGGTCCCAACCAATTCCAGGTCCGGGTCCTGTAATTTTGACCGGGTACCCAGTTTGCTCACCCCTAAATACTACACTTCACTTCGTTTTGGTATTTCTTAAGTATGCAGGAAAAGAATAGCATTATATCTATACACATTTTATATACACATAACTTTTTATTTCTTTTAGTGGCTGAGGCAGTACAAGAAGATGCAGAATGTTTCAGAAATATAGCATAAAGGAAAAAAATATACATATATACCTTAGCTCCAGCAACTTAATCTTCTTCTCTTCTTCGGTAAGGGAAGGTTTAGGAGGATCATTTTTACTGCTGGCTGGAACCTGGAAACAAATGAAGAAACAACTTTTAGTCATAGATGATAAGTTTGAAACATGATAGCTGCTGCTGTTGACAAACAAAAAGGCATTCCATGCTCCAGCATTGGAGGATGAACAAAGCCCAAGGCCCAAAAAGACAATCAAAGTTTGAAAAAATAGTATTGATAAGAGCATGAGAACCATTGGCATCTGATCAATGTCAGCATCGTTCTCGTGTTCAACTATCCAGTTGACAGCACCCTCAAGACTGGAATTACCTGAACATAAGAGCCACATTATATGATAGTAGTTGCGAATAAAAGTGGCAAACTTGAATAAGAAAAGAAAACAATGTAAGTACCAGAGCAATGAAGTGCACGGGTAGCCCGTGCAGTTGAGAATCCCATTCCTTCAAGTTCCTGAAGCAGGGCTTCATCAACCTCAGGGACAACCATTTCTACGAAATACAAACCCAAAATTGACATGTATAATCATGGTTTTGAAAAAGAGTTGAAAAGTACATAAATTTATAGAAAAAGTGGAATACCGACCTTGAGAATCAACGTCCATAGGAGCAGTAGAAGACGGTGATTCTAGATTAATAGGTTTAACGGATTCAGAAGTCTTATCTGAAAATTCAGTGTGGCCAGTTCTTTTGGTATGCAAATCACTCTCCTGATAAATCAAATTCAACAAATCAAAAAAACCCTAATTTGACATTGAATTAGAAAAATGGAAAAAAAAAAAAAAAGAGAGGAGAATACAGTTTTGGAGCGGCAGGGTTTGCCGCAGGAAGAGCAGACGAGATTGAGAACAGGCTCAGTAGATTCGGAGAAATTGGAGTGAGAAGTGAGCTCCGCATGTTGTTGAGCTTCTTCTACGGATTTCAGAAGAGCTCCACAATCTCCGCACTGCAACGATACGCCTGACATCCTCGATTCTCGATTCTCAATTCTCAATTCTCAATCCTCAATCTCATCGATCGGATTCAATCAATATTCTCTGTCGAGATTTCTTTCTTTTATACTACTCCTACTCCTCTCTAGGGGTGAAACTAATGCGGTTTAAACCGGAATCAAACCGAATTAGAAATTTGGTGCGGTTTTTTTTCTAATATGTTCGGTTGGGTTTGAGGAATCCCAAAACTAAATTAATATGGTTTGGTTTCGGTTTTAAGATTTGAAAAACCGAAATCCAAACCGAATTATGGCCCATATCCAAATTGTAGCCTAACCCAATACAAATTTCTACCCTACATATATAAAATCAAAAAAATAATAAAACTTGTGTTTTTTTATGTCTTAGAATGTCAACCAATGTGGGCGATGTTGGAGTGAATGACCAATTAGATGGAGCAAAAAAGAAGAGGATGAAAAATTTCAGTGTGGTTCGGTTTTTTTTTAAAGTTCAGATCAAAAAGTTCAAATCAGATCAGAAAATATAAGTTCATATCAGATCAGTTTAGATCAAACCAGATCAGATCAACTTAAATCAGGTGAACTAAACAAGGCCTTACACTTCAAATCAAATTCTCAATTGCAAAATTAATCTCTTACCGTATTAGTTATTACTCATACTATGCATTTAAGGTGTGCACAGAAAATTTAGTAGCCTTAAGTGTAATCATGTTACAATTAAACTTTATATAAAACAAAGAAATTAACTAAATAGTCATTTAATAATTCTACATTCCTACTTAATTTGTAAAGGTAAGAACCATTTATATCAATACCTTGATTGTGGTGCGCACGTTAAACCTCAAACAAGTAATTATTAGAGGCTATACTAAAATGGAACAAGATCTGACATCTTGCCATGGTTAAGAACAGATGGAAAATTTTTCTTTGCGGACATAAGAGGATCACACAATATTAAGAGGGCATCAAATACATCCTCATCTTTACAATGCATAATGCTACTACTACTTTTCTTTTTATTTAGGTCATGAAAACTTGAAAATTGTTTGAAACAAAAGTTATAACACACAAAATCGAACCAAATTTAGTGGTTTGAGACTTATGTCAAAAACTCTCGAGATTATATGTGATGCATCTCGGGGTCATAAACTTTGTTTGAAATCATATATGACCACTACTCAATCATATAAAGTCTCGTGATAGACTTAAGTTAATACAAGAGATGTAAATTGTAAAGGCTAAATTAGCAATTTAAAACCAAAGTAGACTTACATATATTTACCGGAGATATCTACCAAAAGTCTTTTGAGAGCATGGATTGTGATGTTGTTTATGCATGCGATTGGTTTATGAGAAAATATGTGACCAATATTGTGTTGCAATGACATTGGTTTATTACTAGAGAAACTTCTACTATTGTGAAAAGGTGAATCTCCCTTGAACTAACTAAAACTAATCCAATTATTATTGTACCAAAATATAGGGTTATTTAAAGTTTTATAATTTGATTGTCTTTACAGTCACAAAGGAGAGTAGCTAGTAATTCATTCGTTAATGAAACAAATCCAAATACAATAAGTTCACATAAGGAAGAAAAATTTCACCGTTGAGGATTGTAGCCGGTAATCATTGAACCTTTGACCTGAGGTGATAACTCATAAAATTAGTTTTTTTTTTGTCGGTAGGGAAAAGGGCCCTATAAAAGTGGGAGTTGAACCCTTAACAGGTCCACCCAGCCGTGTTCATTTCGTGATAATAGGTGATCACATAATGTTTGTTTGGATCTTAGGCTGGTAACGCTGGCATAATTATACCGACTAGTGCAGTACGTCGTGTGTAGACTCGGTTTCCCCTTCGCCTTTCTCTTCTTTCTCCTCCTCTTGTATGCGCCCAAGATCTTCCACCACCTTCTTCAATGCTGAAATGAAATTGAAATTGATGACGAATTTGTTCCATCTTCTTCAACTTCCCCCGATTTTTAATTCCCAAATTCTCTCAATTTACACTTTCCCTTTTCATTTTGATTTTGGAATTGATGGATCCCCAACTCAAAGTGATTCAATGGCAAGATTTTGAACAAGAACTTGCGAGGTTATCCAGTCTTTCATCTGCTCTCCAACAAGCTCAGCACAAGAAACTCGCTCTTCAGCGTCACCTTCAAACCCTAATTCAGGTATCTTCTGATCCCCAACTCTTTTTCCAACCCTTAATCAAATTATAGTTTTTCAATTTTATTCAACTTCACTTTAATTGACTGATTTCTCTTGTTAAATTAAATTATATCATTCTTTGATTATGATATTAGTTTGCCAATTATGTTTAAAAAATGGGAGATGGATTATCAAGTTATTTGGTGAACAAGTGCCATTAGCAATGTAGCAGACTAGCAGATAAATGGACATTTGGGCAATGATATTAGTTTATTTACGGGGCTTTAATCCGATTGCCCGCGGTTTAGCGGGCTTGGACATTGTTTTCCAGGTACAATCGGAATCCTTGAGTCGGAGGAATCAACTCGATGAAATTTCTGAAAGATTGGAAGATAGAAAGCTGGTTATGGGAAACATGTTGATGCAAGCTAAGGTGGTAGAAGAACATGCTAAGACTAAAGAGGACCACCTTGCTACTGAAATTAAGTCTCTACTTGTTTCCGGGACATCTCTTTCAGTTGCACGCAAAAGACTGCAGGTGGTATTTCCTATTCTGTCTCATTGCTTACATCTTCTGCGATTCTATAATCTCTAATTAACTTCATTCTTATTTAAAACTTACCTTAATTAATTGCTCTCTGTACACGATTTGATTGCCAAAGTATTAGGTGTGTAATTAGCTTAGGAATAAGTTTGTAAATGGTTTGTATGAAGGGCTTCAATTTTGTTATGCTTTGCCTTTGCGTTCATGTAGTCTTGTTAATCACTCTAGTTCAGTTTTTACTTGCTTGTGAATGTGGCAGTGCAGCTATTTACTCTGCTATACTACTGCAGGAATCTGGTAGATTACTTGCTGGAGAAAAGGGTCTTGCTCAACTAAATGGTCTGCGAAAGATGCTTAGAGTGAGACAACAACACATGGTTTCCCAAGTTGCATATCTTTATCCAGTCAAGACCATGGTTGGCGCAACTCAGGAGCTTGAACTTGATTCATTTCCGGGTGGGAGCAGATCAGGTGAGTATTATATTGTTCCTTAGTAGATTTTCTGACAAGTTGAATGATTGAAGCAAAATCATATGTTCTTCTGGCCAACAAACATAGTGGCAAATCTCAAGCTTCTTAAAAATATTACTTAAAACCTTCCATTTCTATTGGAAGTGTGTATGCGCGTTTAGGGAAAGGGGGGGGGGGGTGGGGTGGGAATTGGGATGGATGCTTAGCCAATTCAAGGAAGATGTTTGAGTTCTGTTATTTTTTTCTTTTAAATTCAGAATTAGGTTTGGTGCCATAAAGAAGGGGCTGATTAAAATCTTTATATGTAACTCTTTACATAAGTCCTCAGTCCAGTTTTATGAAACTAGCTTTTGCATTTTCCTATATCCTTAATCAGACTACCCTTGTCTCTAATTTTGATAGCTTTACAGTGGTTGGATACCATTATGCATGTTGTTACGATAAATATGCATTATGAAACTTCTTTATTACTACGTACTCATTTTCTCCACAGCATACAAATAATCTTTTCCCCCTGCTTAATATTTTTCGATATGCAGGGACTCCTGGCGGAACTCTAGATGAGAACAAATCAAGGAACCAAGGGATCTTAACTATTTCAGGTGTACAGCTGAATATGCTTCCTTTTACACAGTTAACTTTTTTCACTGATAAGAAGCAGGTTCAGAGGTCGACAACTGCTCTTGGATATGTTGCCCATGTGTGTACTTTCTCGTCCCTTGAGTAATGTAATGTTTATTATTATAAGTATACATAGTATGTTCTTATTTTAGGGTAAACTATTAATTTTGATACGTTTAGCCTTCAGGCTAATTGCTTTTGCTCATACGTAGATTTTTTATGATATTTCACATGCTTTCATCTATGAGTCTATAACATGCACTCTATTTAGCCAGTCGTAGATATTTAGTAGCTCAGCTGACTTGCAAGAAAATCCACATGAGCAACATTTACCCCCCTTTACAGCCCTCCCTTGTCCTACCAATCACTTAGAAAAAGAAAGAAGAAGAAAGTAGCAACAATGACTGGATGATTTTAATACGTTGAGTTGGTCCTTTGCAGGTTATCTCACTCATAGCTACATATTTACATGTCCCTTTGCGTTATCCTTTGCGCATTGGTGGTTCTCATTCGCATATTAAAGACTATGCACCTTCAATTGATCCCACATCTTCCGGATCTTCCTCAACTGCCTTGGCCTCTGCAAATACGAAGTGTTTGGAATTTCCCCTTTTTTTAGATGGGCAAGATGCCACCAGAGCAGCGTATGCTATATTTTTATTGAACAAGGTTTGTTAATTACTTATATATATCATGTCATATCTACTGCCTGAAAATTCTACTAGTGTACCTTTTTAATAAATACTTGCTGCCACTTTCTGGACAATGGTTGCAGTAGATTTTTGAGTTTAAGTTCTATAAGTGTATGTTTCTGTTAGTTTTCTCGTTTTAATTTGCTTATTGTATACTCCGTAGCAAGATAGAATTGTCACTATTTGCTGGTCATTTGATGTTCCTTTATATTCATTTTTCATTGGTAGTGCTTGATGAGATATGGGACTGACTTGGATGAAAAGCCACGAGTCATCCAGCTAAAGATTCTTACTCAAATAACTAATTTTTTCTTCCCATTGTTTTGCATATTGCAGGACATAGAGCAGCTGTTGAATTATGTTGGGATTAAAAGCTTAGGGCCGCGACATGTATTGGCTAATCTGAAGGAGCTGTTTAAAACCATACTCTCACCAGACTTTATAGAAAGTGAATGATATCAGGCTTTGTAAATTAGGTATAGTTTTGTAAATGGTTTTTCTTCTTCTTCTTCTTCTTCTTCTTCTTCTTCTTCTTCTTCTTCTTCTTCTTTTATTTCCCCCCCTACTCAGAATGGGTGCAAATCCTTTTATACCCCTTGAGCACCTGATTAAAACTCAAACATCTACACGGAGATGATGTGTATTCTTTGTGAAGCCGGCATAGGATTGGCTGTGTCACATAACTGAAATTGCATTCTTTGCCCTCCTTATCTGTAGTTTAGTTTATGAGGTCTGATGCTGTATTCTGTATACAACAGAAAATCCCAAGGATAAGCATAGTGTAGTATACGATGACAACTAACTGAGTAATATTGATGTAGCAGACTAAATTTTAAGAATTGCAAAATTCTATGATTACTTGTATACTTATGATTTTTTTTACATTATGTGCTACGAAGAATATGTTACTGTAGTTGTTGAATATTCACTGGTGTGCAATGCAATGCAAAGGTGGAGGCTGATGTATTAAATAATGAGAAACAGACAAGGGCATTATCCTTTTAAAAAAGGGAATGCTGTCCACAAAGCTGAGCATCACTCCTCTTAGAAGGCAATTGGATGGTATAATTATGCACATCACAGGATCCGTGATGACAGTTAACATGGTCTTCGATGTTTGTTCTAAATATTGGAAGTGAGAACTCGCAATCAGATGGTTGGATTGAGTTTCCGGTCTCTAATTCTAATATAATCTAATTGGTGGATTTAAGTGGTACTTGTTGAAGTTACTAATTAATTAGAGTATTAGGTACTTTAAAGTTACTAAAGTAGTCCGATAATTACATTATGCAAATGACATGATCATCAATCTTAAGTATGTAAAGTTGGAGTGGTAAATGTAATGCGTGCACTAGTTTACTGTCGTTTGACTGTGTGAGTGTGGGACAGCCTTGCATTGGTAGGTGTAGTGGTATATCAATTTCCCAAAATGAGTAGACTGCTGCATGAAACTAGGGAGTTGGAAGTCAGCTTTTGAGGGTAAAACATGGTAATTTAATACTGTTGGTTGGGTTTGAAGATTAATACTTTTACGGATACAATACAAAATACAAGTCTACTGTATTTTAATACAGAGTTCTCTCACTTGTAAGTTTATACAAAGTAGTCCGTAATTAATACTCTGTACGATGTTTTGTCCTTGTATTGTTTTTCCTCCCACTTTTGCCTAGAAACTAGAAAGTAAGTGACCCGTTTATTCTTCCTATTTATTGTCTTCCTCTCTCTCTCACTCTCTCTCTCTCTCTCTCTCTCTCTCTCTCTCTCTCTCTCTCTCTCCTCTTCATTTTCAAATTTAGTGGGTTGTTTGGGAAATTGAATAACTCAGTGAAAGAAGACAAAGGTTAGAAATAATAGTTGTAGGTTGTACGTAGAGGTAATTGGTTTAATTGAGTAGGGAAAGTCTAATGGCGGAAAAGAGGAAGATAAGCAGTGAGAGTATTATAACTTACAAACATCATAAGACAAGTGCACTATGTTCATCTTCCTCTGCCTCCGACCACTATGTTCGTCTCAAGTTTGTGAATCAGGTCTCTTTCTTTCTCTCTCTGTTTTCTTTTTCTGGGGCCATGCACATGCTTCATCTTCTACTCGATCTTACAGTATTCATTTATTTATTAAGATAAAATGGTATTTGTAGGACAATGAAGAAACCTTTTTTAAGGTGTTGCGCAATGCCAACCTTGGCAAAGCTTTTAAAGCTTACTCTAATCACCACAATTTGCCTCACCAACTTCACTTCACCTATGACGGCATGCGTGTCAATCCTAACCTCACCCCCGACGATGTACGTTTCTTTCTTTGTTTTTTTCCAATCGAAACTACTCGTAATTAATTTGATTTTTTGAATGAATATGAAAAATGCATGCAGCTAAACATTAGGGATGGAGATGTATTTGACGTTTTCAGCTATGTACACGGTGGTGGTGGTGCCGCTGCTGCTTACATCGGCTTTAACAATTGACAAACGCCTTGGGATGAAGCTCCTTCTTAACCAATTCCAGATCCTGTGTTTTATTTGGACCAAAAGATGTAATTCACTAATTGCTGTGTAGATGTAGTAGGCAACTGTAGCTATCCTTTTAAAGTTTTTAGTACTCCTCTAGCCCTTGGATGTATAGTGTGTGTATGCGTGTTAAAACAGAAATTTGTGTGTAAAAGTTTATTAATAACTCCGTTAATTTTTATGTGCAACTTTTACTATTTTTGTTCGCTAAATATTATGTGCAACTTTCTATTTTCTTTCTATTTTTAGTAAACAAAAACCCTGAAATTACATATTTACCCTTACTTAAAAAATCAGATTTTCTTAATTTTACCCTTATCTTATTTTAATCACATTAGTCTTAAATTAAATTGATTAACCTAATCTAATTACTTCCTCCATTTATTATCCCATTTCCCCCCAACTACTCTCATTACTCACATTCTCAACCAACAAAAATTAATTTCTGATGGCTAGGCTTCCATTTATTTTCTGGAGAGTTCCTAAGATGAACCTTAGTTCATCCTCTTCGTCTTTCTCTCTCCTGTTCGTCCGTAGTTTTCTCCATTCTTACTCTCTAGATCTTACCTTGAGAAATCAGATCTTGAAAAAAACGAGTCCCGCAAGAACATGATAAACCTTGATCCACTTCACGAGGCTTTCATGGCCACTGACGACGTCTGTGAGGGTAATTTGATTGTGTCTCTGATTCAATCTATTGAGATCGGATCTCCTTTTCCTCGCCAATTGTATGAGTCTGGTGAGGCTGGTCCTTACTGTACGTCAACCACCCACAAGGCTTTGGGTAAGGTGCTTGAAAGCGTTGAGGAGGAGGAGCGTCTAAAGAGGGCTGAGGGTGAGGGGGAGTCCCGTGGCAAGAAATCGCTTGATTTCAGTGCTGTATCTGTAGATCCAGTCTGTGACAGTGGTGAGGGGAGTTATGTGCCCACCAAAAAGCCCAGATCTAAGAGGGCTAGGCCACCCACGAAGATCCGGGCTAGAAGGAAGGCGGCGTTGGTGGCTCTAAGGCGGATGCGTGGGTTGCCAGATCAGGTAGGGGTAAGCAAAGACCCAGGGTACCCGGAACTGGTCTCCCTGGTCCCGAGACCGGGTCCAAAATGTCGGATCCGGTTGTAACCGGTTCCAGGACCGGATCCTAAAATTTCGGTCCCGGTACCCACTGGGTACCCGTTTTAAACCAATTCCAGTTCCGGGTACCCAGTCCCGGATCCAGACAAACCAGGTACCCGAAACCGGTACTAATTTAGTTATAAAAATTTAATTTATTTTTTAAAAAACTCAATAGTCCAGCCCATTTATTCATTAAAATTTAATTTATTTTTTTTAAAAAACCCAACAGTCCAGCCCATTTATTCATTTTCACGGTTTTTACACTAGGGTTTTCTACTTTTCTGCAGCCTCCACTCCCCAACTTCATTTCATCGCAATTCATTTCATTGTCTTCTCTGATTCTCTCAGTTCTCCTCTCTTTTCTCATCCTCTCTTTCGTTCTCAATTCTTAGATTTTGGATGAATTTGAATCATTTAAAGTAATCAAATTCAACTTGATTTTGTGGGATTTTTGAGAATTGGGGTAATTGATTTTTCAATCGACTTGGCAGCAACTTTAGAGTTTAGCTTTGCCGCAATTGGTAATTGCTTTTCTCTTTTCTCTTTCTTGAAATTCTTCCCCAAATTGTTTGATGAAATGTTGGATCTAAGCCTCCTCCATTGAAGCATACCTCTGAGTTCTCGATTGAAGCAGCTTTTGCTGTATTTATCTTCCTTCTAATTACTTCTAATTCAGTCTGAATTGCAAATTTAATGTTGAATTGTGTGAAATTTTAGAAAGTAAAAGTTGAAGCACAGATTTATTTATAGTTTTTATTTACTTATTTTTTGCATGTCCTCCATCATGATTAAGTTGATATTGCTAGATCAATATTTTGTTTTTAGTTCATTTTTTTTTTAAATGATTCTTTTTGCAATGCTTTACTAGTAATAGCCATGTTGATTATTGCCAGAATGTGTTGGGGGTGCTGATTACAGGTTTACAGGAATCTAAGTATTACAATTTTTTTTCTGCATAATTAAAAAAAAAGAACTGGGTACTCGGTCTTGGAACCGGTTCCAAACAGTTCCGGGGCTGGTTCTGAAATTTGGCTACCCGGTACAACCGATTCTGGGACCGGGTCCTCTGAAATGAACCGGGTACCCGGTTATGCTCACCCCTAAGATCAGGCGTTGATCGTTCTATCCTCTAATGATGAGCCTGAAAAGGAGGAGGGTTCATCACCTCCTTCAAAGAAAGTTGCCCCTCCAGTGGAAGATGGTGAAGTGTGGGACCCTCCTTTGAAGCACTGTGCGAGGAAGATGAACCCAAAGGTTCAACCCTCCAAGTGACTGCTTGCGTAACGATTCCTAACCCTAAATTATTTAATTTTTGATTTGAGTCCCTTTCCATTGATTTTTTTTTTATAGTATGTTGATTTCATCTGGTGGCTTGTTGGCTATGTTGCTTATTTCTGATTGTGTTGGGTTGTTGTACCTGTTTGGTTATGTTAGAGTTCATTTGTCTGATCTCTTGGTTTGTTGGCTGTGAGGTTGTGTTGGGTTGTTGTACCTATTGGCTGTGTTTGCTGTTTTTGATTATGTTGGCTTCATGTATGTGTTGGTGTTTTTGTCTGATCTGTTGGCTTGTTGGATTTGACATAGCCTTGTTTTGAAGGATTATGTTTCCTGGTTGGATTATGTAGGCTTGTTGTTGCTTCATGCTGCATGTCTTGGTTTCATTGGCTTGTATGATTGGTTTGGTGTTGCCAAAATGACATATGGTGCCTATAGGGGTTTGATTAATGAATGACGAGGCTTCTGTGTGCTTTCTTTTTTAATGTTGGCATGGTTATACATTACAGTGTTCTCAATGATCATTTGGGTAGAGAACACATGTTAGTCCCTTACTGTTTTTAAACATTTCTTAAAGGAGTCCCTATTGATGATCTTTTTTAGCCGGATTTGTATTAAGTCCCCCATTTAACTGTGTTGTTTACTTTGTCAAATCCAAATGATGAAGGGACTCCATTGAATTTTATTAAAAACAAGTGTTTTGCTCCAACAATTTGGTTTATATTATTGTTGTTGAGGTAACTTTGTGACTTAGTGTTGTATTCAACAATGACATACAAAGCTTCTGATGGATTGAGTGCCCACATAACAACTGATTCTTTTTCATTTCTATTCCATTCAAAATGTGGGTACAAAAGGACCATACCTTCATCAAAAGACCTTACATAAGAAGGCCTTACATGTTTGCATCATTGTAATCAACAAAATACACCTAACCACCTAGTAAGTGATTGAAAAAAAAAAGGATTAACAGAGCTTATGTGTGGCAGTCCATGTGTTTCTTCACTGTTGTGATGAGTCCCCTAGTCTGCATCTACCTCCATATCTTCTGTTGCTTGTTCAGTGCCTTGAATTGCTGGCCTAAACATAGTGTTTAGGTACTCCACATACTCCATCACTACTTCCTTCTGCACTTCTACTTGATCTGGTAGAATGCCAAGATTTTCAAGTTCTTTCTTTTTTTTTTTTTTTTTTTTTTTGTTCATGTGGAGTATTTTGTACTTGTTCCCACCTTTTGCCTTGAGGATCTTTATCATGCATTTTTGAAAAGTCATCCAAATGTACTTGTTAACTTGAGGATTTAATGTGTCATAAGAGTCTATCACTTTTTCAACTAGCTCATCTAGGTTACTAGGAAAAGACTGATATTGTAAAGATTGAATAGACCTAAATAACCTAAATCAAGCACATTCAAATAAGGTGACTGTGCTTGCTGAAAAACAAATTGAATGTTGAACCCATTTGCTATTGTTGTTGCCATAAACTCTTCATCCTTAGGAACTTGGTGAGGCCTTGCATTGTCCCATTAAATGACAATATTTTTGGCCAAACTTTCAGGCCACTTAAACATAATTGCTGGTATGACCTTTGTCAGCAACATATCTCTAATCACTTATCTGTTTACATTCTGGATTGCCTTTGTTTCCCAAGTTCCTGCTGCTCTGTTTTTGCTGGATTTCTTTGCTTGTTCTTTGACAGTGAATGGGAATATGCAATACTTTCCATCATGGAGTAGTTCCCCATCTGTATCATACAATGACTTCCCTATTAAGGCCATAAACATTGCCTTGAGCTTGAATCTTCTTGACTGTATTGCACTGTATGGATCTTCCTCACTTGGTAGGAGATAAAACCTCCTCTTATCAAGGTTCATATAGAACCATTTCTCATCTATGTGTATGACATGGTTCATATCAACAAATGTGGGATCCTAATTACCTGTAATTGGATTAATATGTGACAGAACCCATTTGAGTTTGGCTACCTTGTGGTCTGATGACAATGTTGGCTTGTTGCTGCTTGTGTGTGTTCTTAGCCTTCCCCTTTTCTTCAAATTGTGAATAGTGACATGAGAGATCTTCAATGCTGCTACATAATTCCTTTCTGTCTGCCTTAAATGCAAAGGGACTGACTGTAGGAATTCATCAGAAAATTGCAGTTGCTTTCGACTTGTTCAGCCATACTTCTTAGTCCTGACATCAATCAAATTCCCTTGTGTCATCTGTTTTTTTATGTCTGTCAATATTCTCGTGATAGTGGATTTGTAAACATCGAATTGAACTGATAAATGTTTCATGTGCCCCCTTGGTAAGCTCCCCTCATGCATTTTAACCAACATTGCATCAACAATATCTCTTTTCTTTTGCATGCTGAGCTGCTTTCTTTGTGAAACTTGAGTCCCTTGTTCAATTGGTTGTTGCATTTCTGGGGAATCAACCTCAACTTGTGTGTTTTGCTGGCCATGTTGCTTTTCTTGGTTGTCTTGCATGTTCTCATCTTCAGATTCATAGTCCTCCAAGCCTAGATCTTGCATATCTTCTTCATGATCATGGTACAATTCTGTCAGATATTTTTCTGTTAGTATTTGCTCAACATCGAAAAACAGAGGATCAACAAATTATGCCATGTGCTGTGTCTGATTTGTTTTTCTTCAGATTCAGCTTGATGATATAGAGGTGGCTAATTTTTTTTTTTTTTTTTTTTTTTGGAGATGAAGGCTGCCCTATGTGGATTTGTAGATAATCAAGGATACTAGGAGATGCAGATTATGAAGATTGATGATGTGCATCACTAATTTCAGTTTAGGGGATTTTTTTGGGTTTTATTGGGCTAATCATGGGTATTTAGTGCTAACTTTTGGATGTAGGAATTCATCTTTTGAGAAAACTTGATGTTTGTAAATATTGGTGACACATTGAATGTCCTTAGAATTATGGAGGCTGGTATTTATATGCCTTCTAAATGCTGAATGTAGGCTTCAAATGCCTCAAAATTTGAAATTGTGGTGGTTTTTTTTTAAAAAAGTAGGAAGGAAAACAAATTTTCACCAAAAATTCATCCAAATTCAATTTTTGGTGAAAATTTGGGGGGGGGGGAATCAAGTCCCTCCTAAAAGGACCGGATTTCCCCACCAAAAATGCAAGTGGGTGGGCCTACTTTCTCTCTCATATCTCTTTAATTAAATTCCTTAACTTTCTCTAATCTTTGCCCCTCAAGTTTTGCTTCTTAAACTGCAAACATCCCCAAAGTTGTACATAAAAATTAACGGAGGTAGTAAAAGTTTTCCTTTCATCATTAACAAATGCATAGATTGATATGGTTAAAGTGGGTTAATTGTTGATGCGATACTTACTAATCAGCTAATTACAATGTGTTAGACACATCCTTTGTGGTCCTGGACTAGTTGAAAATGGATTAATGTTTTAAGGAAGTAGATTGATGCGGTAATTAACAGGGAAAATTGATTGGTTAAAAAAAAAGTTGAATGGGTTTGGTTTGGGTTTGGAAAACGTAAAAGTGAAATTGAATTAGGAATTAAGATTGTAGAGAATGCATAGGATAAATGTGGAATGAGATATTATTATTAGGTGGTGATGATATCACTCATCAGTGGTGAGGTCGTAGGTAGGGAAGGTTGTAAACATGATTAGAATGAGTTAATATTAATAACTAACCCAAATTATCATACTAATCCGTAGTAGTATCTCAAAACTACAGTAATATGAAATGATAAGTACGTGGAGTGAGAGTTAGCGTGTATAAAAAGATAATGTGCAACTACAGTTTTACTAAGTCTAGTAGTAGTCCATATGATATCAAACTGATCCATCCATCTATGACATGTATTTATTCTTACTTGTTTTGTGTGTGGAGTGGAGTGTGTACTTGTATGCCTTTCCAGGCTTAGTAATATTCTCAGCTCCATGCCTTTTCTTCTTCTATTCTACTTATTACTTGCTCTCTCTATCTCTCTTTCTCTCTCACCAAATAAAATAAGCAACAAAGCCTGATCTCAATTGGGGGAACAAATGGAGCAACAGCAACAACGACATGAGCAAGAACAAGAACAAGAGCTCGACCCCAACTTTATGTATCTCAAGTTTGTCAATCAGGTACTATTTTTTTTTTACTACAGCTATTTGGTTTTCATATTAAATTTGGGGGCATCTGCATCCAATCCCTCTACTCGTATAAATTCAGAATGAAAAGGCAACTTATATAAAGGTGCTTCGGAAATCAAAGATAACCAAGGCATTTAACAAGTACTACCAAGTTAACAACATACAACATGGCACCGCTCGCTTCCTTTTCAATGGCAATCGCATTCTTCCTACCTGCGATGCCACTCCCTCTGATGTACTCTTCCTTCCTACTCTTTCTTTCTCTCTTTGTTATGTACTACGACTATGTCTTTACATCAATATTTTACTACGGAGTACTTGCATTGCTATGATCATAACTAAGCCTTCTACACTCATACAGTTGGATATTCATGATGGAGATCAAATTGACGTTGTTCGCGAGGTTAATGGAGGTGCTCCATCCATATCCTAAACCATACATCAACTTCAATTCTACTGCTGCTTTTACTTTATCTTGTTCATTAGTCACAGTACGGTGTATAAGATTATCCTTAATTAAATACTCCGTATTAATTAGTAGCTATCCTTAGGATTTTAAGGCTGTTCATTAATTGGGGACCTGGAGCTACGTATTACTCCAACCTTTAATATTTTATTATTTATGCTTAAACACCAAACTCATCACTGCCCTTTACTAAACTACTGTAATTCACAATCATCAATTGTTTGTGCTTCCATTGCCTTTTTATTTACATTCCTGCTTCATAATCTTTACCCTGTCATGTGCTATTATGCTTTACTCTGATCTATCGTATACGGGAGTACAACAATACGATCAACTTAATTTTGCATTTGCTTTGCTTATCAATTTACTCCAACATCTCATAAATAAGTACTTGTATAGTTGTATATGACTTCATTTTGAAATTGATCCTTATTACCATCGAAGGACATTTTGACGCGAATATTTCAATAAATATCAAACCAACAAACATATGGGAAGACTGATGAGCAGTGGCGGACCCAGGATTGGGTCACAATCGATTGGTGGGTCACAATCGATTAGGCGAAGAGAACAGTGGCTGCCTATGCGAGAAGCCACGAAGAGGACGGAGTCCACGACCACCGACGTCCGACCACCAGGCGATTAGGCGAAGAGAACAGTGGCTGCCTGGCTGGGACGAAGCGAAGAGGCGAACTGAAGAATGGAGATGAGGCGAAGTCGCGAAGAGAAGAAGGCTAGGGCTTGAAGTCTTGAACTGAATTCGTGTTTGGTTTTTTTGGGGAAAACTGATTTTAATTTTTTTTTTTTTTTTTTTATTAAAATAACTTAAATTTTTTTTTTGGGCCTGGTGAGTCACTTGACCCACCAGGTCTAAGCCCAAGTCCGCCACTGCTGATGAGTTGGTAGTCTTGGTACTATACTACTATCTTATTTAGTTATCACCTAACTCAGACTTCTATAGATAAGAGTGCGACTTTAATTTGTTTTGCAATATCTACAACCAACTCAAATTCATCAAAGGATTTTTTACTTGAATATTAAACTAAAACAGGGGAGGAGTTGGAACTATTTAAGATAAAGTGATTAAAATTTGAATTATAGATGAATGGAACAGCCTAATCAATTAGCATATATAGCAGTAAAATCTTCTCAAAACTAGCCAACAATTTCAGTAAATGAATACGAACTAATTAAGACCCTGAAGTAGTCTCAATCTGAACGGAATTGTCAATCACTCACTGATGTAGTAGCTTTAACTCCTACAACTCCCAAATTAAGGAAATGAAGTGCGTTTAAAAAGATAAAAATTACTACAATCAAGTTCATTCATTAATTTCTAATGCAGGTTATGCTCCTCCAAGCTTCGAACAAAATTGTGGTGAGCCTTCTAAGGATTAACAAAAAAGAAAAAAAAATAAATGTGAATCACACCTCTTTTACTCTCCTTCCCTTCTATCCTCTTCAATAGATGGCAAGTGAAAGCAGTAGTACGATGAGTAGTGTCTCCAAAAGAGGTGATGAAGACTTAATGGGGGCTTTTGATTCATTGGTAGTAGAAATTGGAGGTCCCATATAGTTGGGATTCAGACCTGTTCCAGCACCACCATTAAAGGTCGTGGGAGACATCGTGGTGGGGGAGAAGGGTGTTGCTGTTCCATAGGGGTTTGATGTTGGTGTGGCTCCTGTCGTATTAGATGTTATGCTTCCTGCAGTGCTGCAAAAATTGGTCCTATGTTAATTAATATAGGTGTGTGGTGTGTAATGTTAAAGTAGCTACAATGGCATGCATACAAGCATGAGTAAAACTAGCAGGAGATAGAATACTCATTGATTCAACAAAGATACTGTCTACTGATTAAAAAAACACTTGCAGAAGTATTGCTTGCTCCTAAGTTCCTTCAGTTGAAGTCGAGATTCTACAAGAATACATGTAATACCATTCAACAGAGATTGATCAAGCTCAAGCATAATTCAATAAACCAGAAGAAAAAGAAAAAAAAAAAGGGAGTCTTGATCAAATCAGTCATACTAATTAGGTTCCCTCCTTCCAAGTTAGCAATTACCGGATTACAGCACATATATTTTGTTAGAAATGATGAGGGTACAAGGTGATACACTAGTTTATTAGAACTAGAAATGCAATTCCTACAAATATAATTCCTTTAGTAGAAGAGGGAAAATGCACATAGAAAGCAGGGTTGATCTAATTAAGTTATTAGTACTAGTAGTACAGTGCTCCATAAAATAGGGGTGGAAATTGTTAATGTAGAACCTTGTTAGTTGGCGACCATTATTCCAAGGACATGCACAAAAGATGCTCAAAATTGAGAAATTCAATAGAAAATGGGCAAGTGGGATGAATAAAACAATAGTACTCCGTAGAAGTAAAATGAAGTGTAGGGTCAAGCAAAGCTCAACTTTTGATGGTAATAAAACACAAAAACTGGAAAATGGTTGTGATGGATGAGATGGGGATGTAGTTGTACAGAAATGGAGTGGAGTATACAGAAAAAGTAAAAAAGGTAGCCACTTCGTTTTTTATTTATTCGCATCATCAAGTAATGCACGGAGTTTTAGAAGAGTAAAGTAATATTGTGAGTGGATGAATAATTTATTATAGTAAAAGTTAGATGAAGACCATAAAAGAGAAAAAATATGAGGGAGAGTAAATATTTTTATTTTATAAGTGGAGATCATAAAGGAAAGAAAAATGATAAAATAATTTAAATGAGGTTTAAAGTAAGAAAGAGAAATGATAAAATATAGTAAAAAGTTACTAAATAAGAAAGTGATGCATTTAAAAAAAAACACTCGTAAAAGAAAAGTGATTCATAAAAGAAAAGTGATGCATATAAAAAAAACAGAGAGTAAAAAAAGAATCTGAAATTTTGGATGAACAACACGGCACGGTAACATTTACAGGGATGCACTTTACAAGTATGTAATGTGTCCCTTTTATAAAACCACTTGTGGAAATTAAATTAATACATAATGGTGAACTAACCCTGATCAAACTATATACGGAGTATGTTCACATTACTTCTGGCTCACTTGGACTACCTTATATATTTGAAATAAATGTTCCTTAGAATTTTTCTCATTTACTTGATCGTAGTAATAATTTTTCCCATTAAAAAAAGAAGAAAATTATCAACATGCTTTCTTTCAAGTGAATGAACACTTAAGAAAGCATTTAAGAAGGCATGGGGAAGTAGGACAGAGACAGTACTACGTATATTGTTGACAAGGTCACGGGTAGAAGGAGTGACAGGGCTCAATAGCATACCATTGCATATACCAATAGCAAGGAGAAGGAGGCCATGTAATTTAAAAACTAGTAACATCTGACCCCACTACATACTACTGTATGTAGGTTGGAATATAGTTGAATCCATCAATGCGATGACTGACTTATGTTTGAGCTTTAATTTGAATATTTGGCTTCTTCCTACAGAGACAGAGTACATGCTACCATTACTATTACTATTACTATTACTATTACCATGCATACTAGAGTAGTAAGTAATTTGGAATTTGTTGGTTCAATACTCCTATTATTGGTTATAGAGCATATAGTGGAGAGACTAGTGTAGTATATGCACTATGTAATTTAATTAATTGGGAAATAAGTTACTCGATCTTGATGATCAAAAGCATAAAATTGGCATAATATAAAATTTCCGACGAGGATGGAATAGTGTGAAAGGAAAGCCAAGAATAAAGAAGCAGCAAATTTAGTAATAAAAAAAAGGGAATAGTAGAGGTACCTTGGAGAAGAAGGGTAAACACAAGATCCATAACCTGATTCCCAAGTAGTGAATGAAAAAGATTAAAAAAACAGGAATAACAATAAGTGTATATAATAATGGAAGAAAAGAAAGGAAGAGAGAAACGAACTAGGATCGGTCTTGGCAAGGGTGGCAGTGGCGGAGAATTGACAAGAAGTGGCGGCCATATGATTACGCTGGTAGAAGCTGTTGAAGGCGTAGGAGGCGTGAGCCTGAAGAGTGTTGGGGAGGAAACAGAGGCCAGACTGTTGAATGGGTCCACAATCAGCACCAGCAGCACAGGCGTAGTCAAGTGCTGACTGCAATGCATCGTCGTCGGCACCGCTGCGAGCAACGCACCAGACACCATCAGCCACCTTAACCATCATCACTAACACCACCAGTCCTAGTCCTAGTCCTCGTCCTCGTCCTCGTCCTCGTCCTCGTCCTCGTCGAGGTCGTTGTTTTACTTGTCTGTCCATCTCCATATCATTAATCGATTGATTAATTAATGCTTCTTAGTTAACCATATGACTACTCCACCTTTACTATCTCTCTCTGTTTGTGAAGAGCAGTAACACAGCTGAACGATACAAACACGCAGAGAGATAGAGAGAAAAAGAGAGAGAGAGAGAGAATGGAGGGTTCCGGAACAAGACTCAGAGATGAAAAAAGCCTAGTAAAGTAAAGGAAGGAGTAAATCAACAAGCTAACAATGCTGGGCTCCACTTCTACTTCCGTCTTGGCTTGGCTTGGCTTGGCTTGGCTTGGCTAAAGAATGTAAAGAATGCCAATAAATAGTGGAGTGTCTGACTCTGAGTGTGTCCTATCATATGGTCTATGGTCAAATGTAAACAGGAGGAGAGGAGAGGAGAGAGCGTGGTATATGAGTCTCAGCTGACACAACCATCACATTTCAAATCACTTTCATAAATTTGCAAAGATTTACATGTACATATACTTCAATTCTCACATGCTATCCTTTTTCACCCCCTTTCTCACTCATTATTACTCCTTCCGTCTTTTATTTTTTACAACAATTTTTTTTTTCTGAATCGCTATTCATCGTTCGTAAATTACTGGGTGACGTTCACATTTTTAATTGAAATTACTTTTTTGCCCTTGTGGGTATTTTACCTATTTAAAGGTCCACCATGGGTAAATTTAGTTACCGACAACATAAAAACATTACCGAGCCCACCACTTGTGTTAAAAAAATCCCGGTTCCACCATTGTACGGTAATCCCGAGGAATTTAAAAATCCCGGGACATAAAAGAAAAGTGTACGGAGTGGTGTCTTACGATGGACGCATCAACGTTCACACGCCGGAGGATTCGACGGAAGAATATGTAAGTATTTCGGAATTTTTTTTTTTTGTAAATGGACATCCGCCTTTTATTTCCGGAAACATGGGGGAGATCCGCCCAAAATTTCCGGATGTCCCCTCATTACATCTGGAAATTTCATCCGGATGGGTACATCCGCCTGAAATTTCCGGATGTATGTGGGGACATCCGGAAATTTTGGGCGGATCTCCCCCAGAATTCCGGAAAAATTAGGCGGATGTCCCTTTTTTTTTTCTTCTTCTTACGTAATTGTTATTATTATTATTATTATTATTATTATTATTATTATTATTATTATTATTATGGTTATTAATATTAGTTTTGTTAATTTTGTAAATTTTTGTTATGATTATGATTATTATTAATATTATTACTACTATTATTATTACTATTGTTGTTATTATTATTATATTAGTTATTATATGTTATTGTTACGTAGTTATTGTTGTTATTATTATTAGTATTATTATTGTTATTGTTATTATCATTAGTATTATTATTGTTATTATTATTATTATTATTATTATTACTACTATTAATACTATTAATACTATTAATATTATTATTGTTATTATTGTTATTTTTATTATTATTATGATTATTTGTATTATTATTGTTATTATTATTGTTAAATTTAAAATACTAATCCTTGCGTGTTTTATTTGTTTGTGTTGTTATTTTGATAGGATTCGGAGGTTGAAGACGACGGTGACGTTGTGAATTACAGTGCACATTTTGTGACAGACACGGTTTTTCTAACGTTTGACGAAGCATTTACATGGGCGGATGCTGTTGCAATAAATCTGGGATTTATTTTAGTGAAATCGTCTTTCAACAAACAGAGGGATGGTCGACCAGTTCGATATTTAAGATGTGACCGGGGACGCAGGAGTAAGCCGAGAGATCTTGAGAACGCAATTCGGAAGGACACCAAAACCAAGGGCATTGGTTGTCCTTTCTACATCAAGATATGTTACGAGTTCGTCACCAATACTTGGTTTATCCGGGCGAAAGATGATGTAACTGGGACCCACAACCATCCAATGATTGCGTATCCAGAGGGTCATCGTAAAATTAGTGGGTTGAGCCCGAATGCGAAGCAGGTTGTGCGTGACATGACGAAGTCTAAGGTTGCACCGCGTAACATCATGGCGACTATTGCGGAGCAATTTCCTGATGATCATCCAAACATCAGACACATCTACAACTGCCGGAATGACTTCAGAGAGGAGATGTCTGATGGGAGAGGAGTTGTTCAGCAATTTCTACATTTGGCGAGACAGAGTCAGTATGTTTACTGGGTCATGTCCGATGATGAAGGCGTTTTACAGCACGCCTTTATGGCGCATCCAGTCATGGTAGACATCCTACGGACGTACCCCTATGTGATCGGTATGGATTCCACTTACAAGACTAACCGATACGGGATGCCGTTCTTTGAGATAGTTAGCGTGACACCGACAAACCAGAATTTTCTCGTCGCTTACGTGTTCATGCGCAACGAGAGCACAGCAAGCTATCGATGGGTTTTGCAGAGGTTGAGAGACGTGATTGGGTATAATAAGGAGCCGTCGGTTTTCTTGACAGACCGTGAGCTTGGACTATGTGCTGCATTGAGGGAAGTGTTTCTAGGAACCTCGCACTTACTTTGTCTATGGCACATTAACAAAGATGTGGAGGCTCGGGTCACTGCTATGTTCAAAAGCAAGAAAATCGGTGCGTCTTTCAAAAACGGAAAATGGAAACGTATCATGGACGCTGCAACCGAGGAAGATTATGAGGCCGCTGTAGAAAACATGAAGGATAAGTGGGCAAGTTTTCCAGCAGTGATACAATATGTAGAGAACACATGGCTTTGTCATAAAACGAAGTTTGTGACATTTTGGACAAACCAAGTTCTACATTATGGCAACACCAGCACTTGCAGAGTTGAGAGCCAACATTCGGCCGTGAAGATGTGGTTTGATTCCTCGACAGGTTTGGTGTTTGCTTATTGTACTTCATGTATGTACTTTTAAATAGGAATTTCAGTTACAAATCATAACTGTTTTTCTTTGTAATGTGCAGGTTCTTTGGATACTGTATGGGCTCTAGTTCATAGCCACATTGGTAATCAAATCATCGCAATTCGTAATGGTTTGGAGGCTTCTAGGTCAAAGATAGGTCAAAAGTACCGACAGTTGCCACTGTCACGTATAAACGGGAAGGTGTCTCAGCATTGTTTGAAGGTTCTCGATGAGGAGATAAGGAGGATGAGGGAGCTGAGTTATCAAGTGCACGAACAATGTGGATGTGCAATGCGTGTGACCCACGAGTTGCCCTGTGCATGCCAGATACATGATTCGCTAGCTGCTGGGACAGGATTGTACATAAGGCAAATTCACCCGTTTTGGAGGACCTTGGTTATTGGTTCTGGAGAGCACGGGACGGTTCCTGACAATGACTCGACCGAGGATGCCGCACATTTTCGTTCTCTGATGGAGGAGGTGTTTGATAGTGATCCTGCTGTTCTTCGAAACGTGTCTCGCATCATTGAAGAGGAGCTGCATCCGGATCATTCCGATCTCAGAGAGCCTGCTGTAAACCACCGGGTTCGTGGTCGACCAAGACACAATGATACAAGACGTGATCGTTCTTATTTTGAACATGTAAACCGCCAATACACTGTACGCGGCGCACGACAAACAGGTACGATTGAGTGTTGTGTTTTTCACATAAATCAGCGTTCACTAAACTATTAACTGAAACCTACATTTGTGCAGGAGATGTAAACGACATTAGCCAAAGCCGTTATCGACACATGCTTCCAGGGCCGATGTTGCCTTACATCACAGGATGGAAGGATGTCATTGGCGATGGGAACTGTGGGTTTCGTTGTGTGGCCGAGTTCTTCTTCGGTTATCGAGCCCTATATGAGAGGATTTATGGGCTTGGAAGACTTGAGATCAATGTGCAGCGTATTCGATGGGACGGTGGGGCGGTTGATTCCCGTCATTGGATGGTTGCAATACAAGATTTATTTCCTATTGCGACTTGGTTCAACGCAGCGGTTATTATTCTTGGTGTAGGCCAAACACCAACTTGCTACTACCCATGCCTCACGATATTGCCTCACGAAATTTCAGGCGGAAACCCCACTTCCGCCTGGAATTTCCGGAAGTTCCCCTGGACTTCCGGAATTTCTGGGCAGAAGTCCAGTTTCCAGATTTTTTTTTTTCAAAATTCAAAAATTTAATACAAAAACAAAAAACTCACCGGCTCGCCGCCGCTAACGCCGCCGCCACGACCACCAAACGTCAGCCTAATTCTCCGTCGGTCTGCCATTGTCGGATTCAATGTTTGATTGCAAGATTTCAGATTTTTTTTGGTTTTTTTTTTTAAAAAAAAAATTGCTGATTTTTTTTTTCCAAAACTTCAGATTTTTTGGAAGGTTTTACAGAGAGAAAGTGTCAAAGAGTGAATTTGTGAGATGGGAAATGTCTCGTAAAGCCCTAACTTACTTTAGCGAGTATTTATATACGGAGGGCAATTTAGGAAATTCATGTAAAAAATGTGAACGTCACCTAGTAAAATGCGAACGACGTTTAACAACCCCCTTTTTTTTAAGCCATCCCTTTAATTTTACCTCATTTTATTTTTGGACATAAAGAACCACATTAACTCTCACAGCCACCTTATAAACCCACTTTTTTTTTTCTTTTTTTTTTTTGAAACTAAGCTGCGAATTTCATTAAAAAAGATCAATTTCCGCCAAAGTGATCAAGGTTTGGGGAAAGGATCTAACGATACGAACTCATTACACCATCTAGCATCCCAACATGCAACATTATGAGATAGAGTGTTACCTACACGCTTGACATGAGATAAATAAAAAACACTAAAACAGGAAGCAAGACTACGAATATCATCATAAATCAAGTAAATAGGAGAGAAGCCCATAGCCCTTGTTTTAATAGCTCGTACCACATTCTCAGCGTCACATTCAAGAGGCACCTTTGCATAGCCAAGCCTTCTCGCAACAAGAAGCCCATACCTGCAGGCAGCAGCTTCTGCTTCTTCAACACCCCAGCCTGCACACTTCTTTCGGACAGCAGCAGCCAGTAGAGACCCCTGCTCATACCCTGAATACCACCCCAAGGCCGGTTGCAGCTCCAATGTGTGCATCGCTATTAATCTTCACCATCCCAGCATCCGGACATTGCCACGAACCTGCTGACCCAATAGCCCCACTAGCAGCTCTACTAAACACTTTAGCAGCATACTCATTGCTCTCCTTCACATCATTTTTATCAATTCTAACCGACTACTTTCTCTTTTATCATTTTTTTTCAACCAAAAATTAATAAAGCAGTGTAAAATTCTTCTTTGTGGCAAAAAATATAAAGGATGGAGGGAGTAATTAACTAAGAGTTTGTTTAGTTCTCCTTATTTTGCTTATCTAATATGATCTAGTTTGATCAAACTTTGACCTTATGGATACGATAATCTATTAGGAAAAATTATATCAAGTGTAATCTTGTTAGATTCATAATAATGTGTACTTTATTAATATGTAATTTTCATAATTTTTTTCATTACAAAATCAAAGATGAGTAGCAATAAAAACTGCACATAAAGCGATAACCTGATCTGAATTTATTTTTTCTGAAATAAGTAAAAACAAGTTAAACTAAACAAGGCCTAATTACTCACCAGTCACCGCACTTATTTTTATTACTACTTACTCCGTAAGAAAACTTCTTTTCTCCATGTATATCTGTCATGATAAATTCTCTCTTACTTTCTTTATAGGTCACACAATCCTCATTTTTTATTTTTAGTTTGTCTTTTTATTGAAAATTAAAAATAGAAAACCACAAAAAGTGATTTGTACATTTTTGTTGTCAATTTTCAAAATAATAATGTTTCTACAAGTTTGACTAAATTTTCTATTCTTTTTTTTTTTTAAATGAAATAATTTTCATAATTAAAAAAACAAAATACTAAGAACCACAATAATGCCAAACGAATCCTTAATTTTTCACCATTTTAAAAATTTGTGTCATTTGCTTATGCCACAAGTAATTTGAAACATATGGAGTATTTGTAAGGTATATCAATGTTGTTACATGTAAAATCAACATGTACACCCTCTATGTAGAGGAAATGATTTTGACAAATAAATAAACAAATAAACATGGATTCCCTCTGTTTAGAGGGAATGATAAAAGTAATTAAGTGTCATCCATAACTGATCAGATCCATCACCCGCTTCTCATCCATTTAAATCGGATTTTCATCCATTTAAAGCAGGTGAAGCGAATTAGCAAATATCCATTTAGTATTGTCATCCTTACTTATAATACAAGTAGATAATAATAAGCATAAAACATTTTCTTTGTTTGTTAGGGGTTCCAAACAACTATGTTGAGAAATGATGGGTAAATAGAAAGGGGCGTGGGGCCAAAATTCTGAAACACATAAAAATGTAGAATTATCATGACCTCTTTAAATTACACATGTAGTTAAAACACGACCTGTTTTAGTTAGCACAAGTAGCAATAAAGTATTATCTGCTGCTGTTTTAAAATTTAAATAAATGGCCCGAGGCTTGGCAAGTGCATCCGTACTTTAGTGGCAAATTGGCAATGCTTCTTTTTCTTTCTAGCACCACTAAAACTATTGGACATTATGATGAAAGAGCATTACTTACATCCCAACCTTTTGATGGGGAGCAATATCATCATGCAAGTATTCATTTATAAAAGGGCTACCTTCTTTCTTTAATCGACTACACATTGTATTACTCCGTAGAAGAGTTAACTCTCTAGTCTCAAGGTTAAAAGGTTTAAACCTCCGTTAACCATGTGATTCATTGATAGGGTTCTACTTTGGACATAAGTAATTTTTTACCATCCGTCAATATTTTAGTACTTGGCACCTTCTCCTAATAAAAAAAAAAAAAAACCCTAATTTAGGTTCACAGAACCTACTCATTTTAGGTCCGACAATCAATTTAAAATCCATACTAAATTTCTAAAGCTTGCTAAATACCTTTACATCCCCAAATTTAATCTTGAATTATAAATTCATTACAAGGGGAGCAGTGAAAACGATATTGCTGTGTGGCACTATGCACAACAGTTGACCACCACTGCACGGGTTTGGAATCCACAACACCACCATCCATATTATCGATGCATGAAAACATCCACAAAAAAGTAGTGACTAATAAAAAAATATCAAATCACAATTTGTATCTGTAAATTTTGAATATCGCAAATTTGTAATAAACAGACTATTTTTCAGTAATTGTGTATGATCGTGTGACTTCAAAGTGGCTTGATAAACCCACATCACTCCACAGTCCATCAACTAAACACCCACCCCCCCCCCCCCAAATTTAAAATAATAATTAAATAAAAAAAATCCACCAAAATATATTTGGAAAAAAATGAGTAGTTTGGGTATGGGGGCATTTTAGAAGTAGTTTCAATCTTGTTCACTTTCTTATCCTTTTCCTTTCTTCCCTCTCTGAGTACAGGGATCACTACCCCCCTGAGAAACAAAATGGAGCAGTGATATTTAACCAAAAAAAAAAGGGTACCTTCATCAAGGCTTAGCTTTCTCATAAAACAGAATGTAAGCCTCACAACGGAGGACCTCCTCCAAGGTTGTTTCACGAATATACGAATCACTGGCATGATACCATACAGAATGTCCTCGTCTATTTTCTTCTTCTGACCTTCCTCTTCGCCTGTCACCTCCTCTGACATAGGCCACATAATGGCCTCCTCTCATTGATCCAGAATGCTCCACCACTCCAATCAAGCAATAAATGCAATTGTCTCTCCCTGTGGACCTGCAAGTTTGTTCAAGCAACAGATCTTAATATATATATATATATATATAGTCATTACTAAACCACACTCATAATAAAGCTATAGCATGATACAGAATGCATGCATATTGCAATAAAAACAGCTAGAGTCAATCAATCCAGCAGAATTTACACACACAAACTGAAATTTCACTCTCTCTACATTCTTATGGTTCACCCCACCCCCCTTTTCTTGTCTTAAATTGGGAAACTCCATTATTATGAACTTGCATGACTGTCTAGTCAACACAAAAACCCAAAAAAAAAAAGGAAAAAAAAGCTGGTACCTCAAATTCAAGCATGCTCATGAGGAGTGCTACATAGCCTCACTTGTATCAAAAATTTGGTCATAATCACCTTAACCTGGCTTATCCAGATTCAAGTCGTTGTCTAATCTACATAGGGAAGACATGTTATTCTAGTCCTTCTGTAAGTTAATCACATAGCCAACATCAAGCTTTATATCAGCTCAGTATCAATCTCAGAGTACATGGAAGGTCTAGATAATTGTGCCCTACATAAAGAACTAATACAAAGACCAATTCTCTCTCTCTCTCTCATAAAAGCAAGTAGCTTAAATGATAGCAACTAACAAGTAGCTATCATTTAAGCAAGGGCAGTAAAAGCAAGTAGCTTAAATGGTAGCAACTAACACAAGTGCACCAAGAGAATGCATGCATATCATGCTTAAGGATCCATTCTTTCACCAATACTCAAAATTAAGAAACCTAAGACAAGGGTTTCACTCAATATTCCTAATACTTTAAGAAGCAGTCTCTATTTTAAACTCAAACCATCACAGACAAAGGAAAACTACCCTGTGGATGAATAGCTTTAAAAGGGACTAATAAAAAAGGTATTAGCTCAATAAAAAGTAAAATCTCACATTCCTACTACCTGTAACCTAATAGTGATTCACTTTGATTTTTCTATAAATCTAGGAAACAACTTCATTTGCCTTCCCTGATCTCTTTCTATCTCTCTAAATTCAGTCTTTTTTCTGAATTTTTTTTTTTTTGGGGGGGGGGTGTTGGGGGATTAACTCTCTCAGCTCACCATATCACTGATAGGTGCTGCTACATAAAATGTCTTTATCCTTTCAGGGTCTCTCAGACGGTATCATACATCTCAAATTTACTGCAGTGACAACATTTACACTTTGCGAGTATAATCCGTCATCGACCCAGCAAAGCCAGCACATGCTTAAAATTAAAATCAGGAAAAGAGGACATCTAGACCTCTCAAAATATCTGCGAATGGCACAAATAACAGTTCGCAGCGACTTCTGTAATTCATCCAATGATAATGTTCTGCATTTCTACATTCTTTCAAATGATTAGTTTTTAACTGTATGGATTTTTTTTTTTAAAAAAAAAAAAAAAAAAAAAAAAGGTTCCTCATTGATTCGTCATTTTGCTGATCCTAGAAAAGCTCACTTTGTCACTTTTCTGATCCTAGAAAAGTTTTAAAAGTGCATTCAATACTCAATCAAATGACATTAACTGTGAACTGACACTCCTAGCCCTGAGATTGGTAGCTTATGTTGATGTGCCATTTAACTAATCTTGTCAATCAAATACAATACAGAAACCACTGCTCTC